AAACAAAATGCGTGTGAGAAAAGTGTCTTTGGCTGTAAGATCTCTCACAGACGAATCCTCCGGTGGGGTTCTGCCAATAAACAGAGAGACATTAAAACAACTGAAGAAAAACATCCCCCTGCAAGTGAAGACGAAGGCATCAGGTTCCAGGGTGACTATATCCCACCAAATGCTGTCCTATTCGAGAAAATAACAGGATGGATGGTGTGGAAAATGGAACTGAAACGTCAGGGAGGGGCTGGCCCTTCAGGTCTGGATGCAAACGGTTGGACAGTCATCCTCAGCACTAACAAGTTTGACCCTGTAGCAAGTGATCTTTGCACTGCCATTGCCGCCCTTGCAAGAAAGCTAGCAACCTTGTGCTGCCAACAGCTCCATGCTCTGACGGCCTGCCGCCTCGTTCCTCTGGATAAGAATCCAGACTGCAGGCCTATAGGGGTGGGGAAGTGCTGAGGAGGATCATCGGAAAATGCATAATGGAGGTAGTAAAGGATGATGTCAGGGCAGCAGCAGGGAACCTGCAAGTTTGTGCTGGCCACGAGGCTGGAAGGGAAGCTGCCATTCACGCCATGAGATTGATATTTGAGCAGCGTGATTGTGAGGCCGTTCTCCTGGTGGACGCTTCAAACGCATTCAACATACTTAACCGCAAGGCCGCACTGCACAACATCAAGATCAAGTGTCCAAGCTTTGCAATGTATGTTGAAAACACCTATAGGAATCCATCAGACCTCTAAATAGTAAACAACAAGGCTCTAAGAGGTGATACCATCATTCAGTCAACTGAGGGTACAACGCAGGGGGACTCTGTTGCAATGGCAATGTACGCAATAGGCCTATCCTTGCTCCAACACACAATAAAATTTGAAACAACCGAGGTCAAGCAAGTGGCGTACGCTGACGACCTTACAGGACCAGGAAAATTGGAGGACATCAAAAAGTGGTGGGACCTGGTAACATCAAGAGGTCCAAAATTAGGGTACCACCCAAACTCTAGAAAGTCCTTCCTCATTGTGAAGCCAGATCATTATGAACGGGCAACGGAGGTATTCGGTGGAAGTGAGGTCAAAATAACAAAGGATGGCCAAAGACACCTAGGCGCAGTAATGGGCACGACGGACTTCAAGACCGAGTACGTACGGGGAAGGGTGAATGAGAGGGTTAGGGAGATCCAAGCTTTGTCTGATATTCCTAACACAGAGCCACATGCGGCTTTTGCGGCATTCACTCATGGAGTCAGGCATCGCTGGAACTACCTGATGCGCACTATCCCTGATTTCGGACCCCTCCTCCACCCTCTGGAAGAAGCTATCAGCGTCAATTTCATTCCCAAATTAGTGAAACACCTTCACTTAACCCCAGCAGAAAGATCACTACCTGTACTACCATCGAGACTGGGAGGAATGGGATTGAACAATCCAGAGGAGATTGCTGCCACCGAACATCAAAACTCAGTTAAGCTCACGGCAGCCCTCACTGACCACATAATAGCTCAGAACGCAACAGGTGAGGTGGTTCCCAGTGAAGTAAACAAGATTCGAAGTTCCAGTACGACAGAACAACAGCACGGCCAAAGTGTTAAGTTGCAGCAACTGATGCTGCAAGTACCAGAGAATTTGAAAAAAAATAGCTATAGCGCAGGAGGTGGGCGCCTTGACCTGGTTAACCACGTTACCGATAAGGGCATATGGTTTCATTCTCAATAAACAAGAATTTACAGATGCCATTGCTTTAAGGTATGGTAGGCCAGTGGAAGGTTTGCCCTCCCAATGCGTGTGTGGTTCTTCCTATGACGTCGATCGCGCCATGGTGTGCAAGAAAGGGGGCTTCATATGCATGAGGCATGATGATGTAAGGGATCTCACAGCAAATATGTTGAAGGAAATCTGTCGTGATCTCAGGGTAGAACCGACCCTCCTACCATTGGACAGTGAGAATTTCCAACATAGGACTTCAAACACATCCAACATCCAACGAAGCCCGTGTTGACGTCAGTGCTTGAGGGTTCTGGACGCGGGGACAGCGAGCCTTCTTCGACATCAGGATTTTTTATCCCATGGCCGTATGTCACCGTAACTTAGCTCTCGATGCTGCACACAGGAGGAACGAGAATGACATGATAAGGGTATATGGGGAGAGAATTCAGAACGTTGATCAAGGCAGCTTCACTCCTCTGGTGTTCACAGCCTCATGTGGGATGGGACCAAGTGCAAGATGCTTCTAAACCAGACTCGCAGAGCTGCTATCCGAACAGAAGCAGCAGCCCAGAAGTTATGTTACAGCCTGGATGAGATGTCGACTGTCCTCTCTCATTAGGTCTGCTTTGCTCTGCCTCAGGGGAACGAGAGCATCGACCCCAATGCCGACAACAGTTGCAGATATTGACGATGAGGCAACAGTCACTGAATTCCCCATAGATCTGCGGCTCAAATTACTCAACACAGCTGGGATAGCTACTTATGTATTAGGATATTTGATTTTAAGGTATTAAAATGGCGGGGAAGGTGTGGCTATTGGGGGAGGATGGAGGCCACGTCTAAAAAAAGAAAACAAAATTAGTCCACTACAGGACAAAGGCCTCTCCCAACCTTCTCCATGACCATGTATTGCTGTTTATGACCAGATAGTCTTTTGTTTTTTTGACCATTTTGATGCAGTTGACTGCATAAATATTATGTACTGAGACAAAGGTTGATGTAATAGAGTGGGGGTATTGCGTTTTGTGGCGTGCAGAGGCGAGCGAGAGCCAGCAGGCGCCTGCAGGCGAGTACAAGTATGTGCCTGTCGCCGCTGGGGGTGGAGTTACCGCGGTGGTGTTGTGTTGTCGCAGGATGATGACAGATTTTTGCAGGAATCGGTTGGATCCTCAACACTACATGCGAGTAGCGCTCAGCACCAAGACGCCAAGGTTCGATGCCACCATGGAGGAAAAACAATAGCATCGAAGTCACTTAGAAGTGGTGCGCAAGCATAATCAATTAGATTCATCCGCAACAGACCATGCAAAGTGCTAGCAATTGTAAAGTAATTTTTGCACATTTGTAATTATCTGAATTTTTACAATGTATCATTTAGTTGTCAATTGTGTATTTTTTGCATTTTGGTAATTCATTGCATTTTCACTTTTTATTTCCGAGTTGTTAATATAGATAACAAACCACGATGGATCTGTTATTAATTCCCACGACAATATGTTCTTTCATCAATTGGGGGGAGTGGTGCGAGAACGGCTTGGCGGTTTGGAACGGGTGCGAACATGGAAAAGGTTAATAATCACTGCACTAGCGTGTCATCCCAGCAGGTTCTTGTGCGAATCCTGTTGAATGCTTCTATGAAATCCATGTCACACTTAATGTCCCTATCGCTTCAGTTGATCTATCGCAGTGGTTCCCAAACTTTTTCACATGACCCCTTCTGTTGTTTTTTTACCAAACCTTACGCCCACGCCCACAGTTTTTTTTAAATCAATTTTATCAACTTTTAATCAAATTTACACCGTGTACTAATATTTACATTACTTTCAAGATCAACTAACACGTGCATATGGGGAAAATTGAAATATACTAACACAACAAATTAATGTTACATAATCATATTGAAAACTTCTTAAAAGGGGAAAAAATAATATCAATATACACGTTTACACACGGAATAACCCCCCCCCCCCATTGGTCTCCCCAGTTTGGGACCACTGATCTATTGCATAGAATACTATACAGTATTTTTTGTCACTAAACAGGTGATGTTGCATCATAGTATCATAATTTTCAAACCATGTAAATGAAAGTAATATTCGTTGGGTAGTTTGGTAATTCTTAACCACGTGCTAATGATTATCAGTAACGTTTGCTCATAAAAAACCGTCTCTTTCACTTGCCTAAGGCGCGAGTATGAGGACCCAGATAAATTAGTCTCGATCTTTATACTGTAAGCTTCTCACTGATGAAGTGGTTTAGTGCTTCCTCAAGGTGTTTGGACTCTGTCAGTTTGGCTCCGCGACAACGACACAGTGTTACCGTTCAACTTATTCAATACAAACTTTCAAAATGTCCTGAGATTTGATTTGAAGGATTCATCTTTCTGTCACCATGTAAATTTTGTTTCTATGCCTTGTGAATTATTTAAACTTTTTTCTAGGTTCCTCGTTTAAGTATATTTCTGGTTATATCTGCAGCTCTCTCTGGTAACTTGAAATATCTGTTTATCTAAAGAGGAAATATCTTATTCATGGCGTGGTGTTATTCCAATGAGCGAAGTTTCAGCATATAGCTATTCCCTGCGTCTCAACATTCTACAGTACGTGAGCTCACTTGGTTGTCCTGATCGATCTCTCAAGTTTATCCTAAGTAAATCTTAACCTCTTAATTCGTTGAACTTCTTGTGCAGCCTGTCTTTTGTGATTGTTAAGGGATTGAATTTAACCACAATCACATAGCTGTCACTCTTGCCCAGGGATGAGGGAGTTGGGGGGGGGGGGATTAGTAATGCTTCTCGTCTGATATCACTTCCTCCCTCCTCGTTATGTCAGTAAGAGCTCCAATAATTCGGCTAATTTATACCTCTGCATATAGTATTCTCAGATAATGTACTGTTGTTCCCTTTTGTATTTATAGATCTGAACTCGCCACTTTCTGTAGCGACACGTGTAAGGTTTTGTTATTTGTGGTCCTTGTCGGTGAGTTGTTCTTCTGCTGCTCACACTTTTTGTTAAAGATGAGGTTGACTGTACTGGTGGCTGAAGGTGTAAGGCAAGTTGCTCTACCTCACATGTTACTCTTGGTTCAGGATTTTGATTTAGTTCTATCTTCTCTTGGCATTGTCTCCTCTCTTTCATTCACCGGAATTATAGTCTCTTACTTATAGACTGATTTTATCTGGGGGAAAACAGCAAATTGTTTTCACTAATGAATACTTGTTGAAAGTATATATAATTTCTTCCACTTTCAGTACACGATAATAATAAAGGAAATGGACAATTGGATGGATATGAAAATACAATATTCCCAGCCATATATTTATTAATACAATATATTCTGTTACAGATCCATACATACACTTTGCGACATTTGTAGTACACAAGGAATTAAAGTAATGAGCTCGGGTGTGAACTAAGCTAAACAAATCCACACATTAAATATTCTTTCCCTGTTAAGCAATAATGATGAATGGTCAGCAGTGGTTGGTATTGACTAGGTGAAAGTACAGTGGGAAAAAAAAGGTCCAATTTGGTGTGTGTTACCCCATGGCCCGTCACCACGTATCCCTCTACAGTATATTATTGATGTAACCCACGGCCGCGTTAGGACTCACCCCCTCTGGAAGGTTAATCCCCAGTATGGTTGATTGTATTAGGTTTTGGCATGTAGTGGCTGGAGACTAACATAGCCTGATCGAGTGGGTGAAGGAAGTAACATGTGACAATTATTACCCGAGCTGTTTCATGTTAGTGTGTGTCTGACTTCATCGCTTCGACTCGGTAGGATGGGCATCGAGTGACTGTACAGGTAATAATATGGGACAATATTACTCCCGGTCAACCGCTCCTCATCTCCTTGTGATACTACAATAACCCGTACTAAGATTATAAAGCCTCATACAGATACACAACAAGAAGGAAGAAAAAAGAGAATTAGTTGATAAAAAGATGATAAACAATGATCAGGATGGAAATATTGAGGGATAGTGTAATTTGTGGTAACAAGGGTGTTATGATGGCACTATGTTCACCAGGAACATAGTACCGAGCCACAGGTGTTACTTGTCGATGTCGGCAGGTTGTTGGGTCATCCTCTACATGAGCATGTTGCGGCCGAGGGGCTGTAAAGTCACCAAGCACATACGTCAGTCGTCTGCAGTTTATTGATGAGTATTTATATCACATGTCAGAACAGTTTGAAAAGTCTGATATTTCATTTGTTTGAAGCAAATACATGTGATATGTCTTAGTAGGAAACGTTCATAGAGAAGAATAGTAATTTGTGTCTCATGGAAAAAGGAAACCAGTGTATTTCTATATTACGACCAATACTTACACTATGTCACTAAGTTGGTACTTAGAGCTGCTGAAACAGAGGGTGGAAAAGTATTAGCTAACATGCTTGTCTAATGTAGGAATGTGACGATATAAGAGAATATAGATTTTTCTCAGTAAGCACAGTACAGTACATGTAAGAAGAAACATATGACTCAAGTACTGGATCACATTCATCTAGCAGTAAAAATCTAGTAAGAGACGGTAGTAAAACTGATAGTCTACTCGAAGTTGAACTTTAAGGGCAAAGACAAAATGAAATAAAGTTAAAAGTTTCAGTCGAGTAAGAATGAAAGCCATGCGAGCAAGCGCGGGTAATCAGTGAGCGAAGTAAACAAGTGGTCGGTTAGTGATACAAGCTGCCACACCTCACTCTGGTAGCTTCCCACTTAATCATTAACACGGTGATGGTAATTTTCTTGTAAGTAATCTGATTCAGCAATTGCAATGATTATTTATGAAACTGATGAGTTTGGCATTGACTGTAGGTGTTATAAGTAATTTCTGTATTAGGTTTTGGATTAGTATGTATTCGTTTAGTTTGTCAAAATTATTGGTGTTATATAAAAGTACAATTATGATTGTATTGTGAAATTATCTTTGAGCAAAAATTATTGTTAAAAAAAATCAATGAAAAATTAAAGCTGAAACAATCCTTTAGGTTGTGGTGATTGTCCATCATATCCTGTGTGTTATTAATATTGGTATTGTGGGTACGATGACCTTACCTGGGGGGACATTCGGGCCACAGAACCGGCACGTCCCTTCGCCTTTGCCTTACTAGCGACTTGTTCCGCATTGTCAGCGCGCTCCTCAGCTTCCTCCAGCTCCTGCTGGGCCTTGCGGAATTTGGCCAAGTTGAGGGCAGCGATCTCTTCAGCCTCCTCGATCTGGCGTTTGTAGGTCTTGATCTTCTGCTGGAGCTTGTCGACAAGGTCCTGCATCCTCTCGTGGTTCTTTTTGTCCTCATCAGACTGGAAGGTGAGCTCCTTGATGCGCCTTTCGCACTTCCTCAGGTTCTTCTGGGCATCAGCATGACGGCGAGCCTCGTCGTCGAGCTGGGTTTCCAGTTCACGGACGCGGCTCTCCAACTTGGCAAGAGCCTTCTTGGTAGCCTTCATTGCATTACCCTCAACTTCTTCGAGGCGAACCTGGAGCTCCTTAACAGAGACTTCCAGAGACTTCCTCATCTTTTCTTGATTCTGTGCGTGTTCTTGTTCGGCGCGGAGCTCGTCAGCAAGGCGGGCAGCGTCAACCATAGCCTTCTTGGCCTTTTCCTCGGAATTCTTGGCCTCATTCAGCATCTCGTCAAGATCAGCCTATGGGAGGAAGAAGAATGCAAGATAGGATGTATGCATGTATGCATGTATGTATGTATGTATGTATGTATGCATAATAATTGGAATATAACCTTTGCAGCGTATTTCTGAATTAATATGTGTATAACGAGATTTGGGAAAAATCTTACATGCAATGTCTGCAGCTCTCCCTCGAGCTTCCTCTTGGCCATGGTGAGAGATCCGTTCTGTGCATTGAGGTCATTGAGATGGTCAGTGGCCTCTGCAAGATCAGCCTCAGCCTGGCGACGACCACGGTCGGACTGCTCAAGAAGAGTGCGAGATTCTTCAAGCTCTCCATGAAGAGCATTGGCGCGACGCTCTGAAATTCCGTACTGCTCGCGGTACTCTGAGGCGAGACGCTGTTCCTCCTCCACACGAGTCTGGAGCTCCTTCATTTCTCCTTGAAGCTTCTTGATGTGTTTCTGCAAGTCTGCATTGGCCTTGTTGGAGTGGTCAAGAGCAATTTCTAACTCATTAATGTCGGACTCGAGTTTCTTCTTCATACGAAGAGCCTCAGCCTTGCCCTTAGCTTCAGCCTCAAGGGAAGCTTGCATGGAATCGATGGCGCGCTGGTGGCACTTACTGCAAAACAAAATATGATAAAAGTCAATTAAAGTATATATATATATATACTGTATATATATATATATATATATATATATATATATATATATATACTGTACATTAATTATTGTTTTAAGGGGTGAATACACATTTCAGGATAAACAAAACATTATTTACCGGGTGTTGTCAAACTCCTCTTCCTTCTCCTGGATGCGCCTGTCAATTTCTTGCCTAACTTGGCTGAGCTCAAGCTGAGCACGGAGCACCTTGTTCTCTTCCTGTTCAAGAGCGGCCTCAGCTTCCTCGAGAGCAGCTTGGAGTTCTTCCTTTTCAATTTCAAGGCGTTTGCGGTTCTTTTCGATCTCGTGAATGGATCGTCCACCCTCGCCTATCTGGTCCATCAGGTCCTTGATCTCGTCAGCAAGGTTCTTGTTCTCGCGACGAACAGAGTCAAGTTGCTCAAGATTCTCCTCATATGCGGCCTTTACGCGGAAGAGCTCAGTGGAGTAGTTCCTACATTCCTTCTGTGAAGCGTCAAGCTCAGCAGCGAGGTCATCAACCTTCATCTTCCATTCGGAGATGATCTTGTCAAAGTTCTTCTGTTTCTTTTCAGCAGCGTTAGCGAGAGTCTGGGCACGTTCAACCTCAATTTGCATATCCTCAAGCTCAGTGCAGATGCGCTGCTTGGTTTTTTCAAGGTTCATGTTCTTGACATTGAGCTGTTCAATCTGTTGTTCAGCTTCTTCAAGGCGGGCAGCAAGTTTCAAGCGGGCAGCCTCTAGCTCTTCAGCACGGGCGACACCCTCTGACTCGTATTTAGCACGCCACATCTGGGCCTCTGCATTGGACTTGGAAAGCTGGCGCTGGAGATCAGCCTTTGCTTCTCCTTCTTCGTCAAGTTGTTCACGGAGACCATCGATGTCATGCTCCAAGTTACGGAACTTTCCAAGAATAGTAGCACGTTCCTGTGTGGGGTAAAGAGAAGACAGTGTAATTGTGGTAGAATTGCTAATTGTATCATAATATACCATAATAGATTTAATACCATCCGAAATTATAAACAAATACTATCATAGTACTTTTACAGATAATCTCCCTAGTTACCCTGCACTCATCATCCGCAAGCTTTCTGGTGTCTTCGAGTTGATTGGTGAGGGACAGTTTGAGTTTGGATAGCTGGCCGATACTGCTTTCGGCTTCTTCAACTTGGCGCAGGAGGTCAGCATTTTCAACAGCGAGTTTCTTCTTGGTGGCATCAAAGTCGTTGAGGGTGCGGTTGGCTTCATCAAGTTTAGACTGGATTTCGTTGCTCTGATGCTGGAGCTGTTTGTTCATCTTCTCAGCAGCAGCCTGGCGTGGGGTGGGAGGATAAGAGGTCATGGTGCACTCCTTACCTTATATTTTGCTTTTAAATGGTTATTGCTTTATTGCAATGCAACGATATATCATGATATGTGAGGAGAAATTTGTAATTACAATTTAATATTTCCTGTTATACCGAAATAATTTTATTTTAGGATATGCCGTCAAAATATATAAGAATTCTGCAAGAGACCACAAGAAAACAACTATCATAGACAAAGAAGACATTATTGTTGATGAGTAGTGAAGAAGTAGCAGGTAAGGAGCCGATTTAAGGTTTTGTTTACCTGGCCCAAATGTGCACTCCACCACTCACATCCAAGTATATTCGATGAATTTGAATATTAGTGGACAAGAGTCAGTTGTCAAAGCTACATATTAGGAGACACTATATGTGACCTGACTGTGTATACATTTTGTTGATCAAAGTTGTACACGGTAAGTGCAGTATAACAGTGCACTAAGTACCTTATAATCACCCTTTACAATATATACTGTACATTTGCCAGTCTGGTCACATAGAGGAAGATACAGTTGTACTTGGTGTGATGTAATAGGAGATAAAACATGCAGTTTGGTTACTAAGCACATCGCAGGTGATTTAAATTTTCTCAACTTTGAGTTGATTGTTGCGGCAAATGTGATAATCTAGTTATTAAACAAATCCTCAACAACTGGGACAACAGTCATGTGCTCAGGTTCCTTTGTCAACAAGAGAGACATTTTCAGAACACGTTTTACATATTTTTAATTCGCTTACTAAACATCACGGCGTAGTTCAACAGTCTAGAACAAATATTCACATATTCTTGATTAGCTCTATACCTAGCGGATTGTTCAACATACTGAACAATCATCTCACATATTCTTGATTAGCTGTATAGACACGACGTTTATATGTCTAATAGTAGCAGTACTGCTAATATACAAATGTGTTTTACCTTGTCTGCAGTCATATGATCTGTAGCAAGCTTAAGATCATCACTCTGATTCTTCAACTGATTCTTTTCCTTCTCAAGCCTGTTAGGATAGTTTGTGTTAGCAGTGGCAGAAGTGGCACAGAAATCAACAATTTAGAAGTGCTTAGTTAATTGCATAATTTTATGGATGGCATCTGCTGGTTCATACTGGTTATTTGTCATCCATAAAACTTGAAAATGGCCGAAACCGCACGAGAAACTGTAGTAATCCATTAGCTGAATTAGTGTGTAGAATGTGTGTGGTCAGCCTTGTGGTTTACCTTCTCGTTACTGAGAATATCTGCAGCAGATCGAGCATCATTGAGTTCCGAGGAGAGTGTTGTCTTTTCACGCTCCGCCCTGTAGTGGTTCAAGAGTAACAACTAGATATTCTTCAGGAGGGGCTAACTCCGAGGAATATCCAGATTTACTTGGAAAGGGAAGGAATAACTAAATAAAAGGTGAACAAAATCAAAGAAAGCAAATCCAAGTCTATGAAAAGCGTCCCACAGCTTGTAAACCAGAAAGTATGGGTAGGGAACTGACTGTCCGGGTGTTGCACACGGCAGCGGCCCTAAACTAAGGAAAATAAAGAGTAGGTTGATGGTGGTCAATTGATTTTACCTTATCTCGTGCTAGACCGTCCATGGCAGCCTTAGCATCATCAGCATCACGCTTCAAGGAGTCCTTATCCTTCTCAATCCTATTTATGAGAGGTTATAGACCACCAAATGAAAAACAAAATAAAAATCAGAGTATGAGCAGCGCTTGGTTATCAGTTAGCAAACCAGAGAGAAGAGGAAAGTATGCTGATTATTGTTCTACAATTAGCATGATTAGTTAACCTATAAAACTTGCTGATATCTGGAGACTCATAAGAAAGTAAACTGATTATAAATAAAACAATAAAAGTTGGCTAGTTTATAGTTGTACATGATTAATTATTTGCAAGAAAGTATACTGTACTCACAATTATGAACTTAATGGAAAAGCATAATAATTTCAGTTTGAATCACCATTGCCTTATCTATTAAACCATTTCATACATATGTATTACTAACCTGGCCTTCATCTTGTTGAGGTGGTCGATCTGTTCTGACATTTCAGCGACGGCATCATTGTGTTTTTTACGGAGGTTAACGAGAGCACCTTCATGCTGGATGTTGGACTCCTCTAGATCACGGCGGAGTTTGGACAACTCAGCTTCGCGCTTTTTGTTCAATTCAATCTGGGCAGCTGTGGCACCACCAGCTTCATCCAGACGCTCTCCAAGTTCTTCAAGCTCACGGCCAAGATGAGCCTTTGACTTTTCAGCCTTAGCACGAGCCTGGCGTTCATGCTCGAGCTCTTCTTCGAGCTCCTCAATGCGAGCCTGAAGTTCCTTGATTTGCTTTTGAAGCTTGGAAACAAGACTCTGTTCATCCTCAAGCTTAGAGGCAAGGGATGAAACTTCCTTGTCCTTACGCTGAATAGTCTGTTCGAGTTCCTTCTTGTTGCGCTCTAGATCTGCAACGGCTTCTTGTGTCAGTTTCAAGTCACCCTCAACCTTCCTCTTGGCCTTGTCAACTTCACCACGCAGCTTCTTCTCTCGCTCAAGAGAATCTTCGAGCTCATCAAGAGTCTGTTCCAGTTTAGCCTTAACTTTGTTGAGGTGATTGCATTTGTCCTCAATACCTTGAAGGTCTTCAGCTGTCTTCTGGTTACATTCCTGAAGGTGTTTCTTTTCCTTATTAATCTTATTGATAAGCTCGTCTTGGTGGGCAATTTCGTCATTGAGGTTGCGGATCTGGTGGTCCTTGGTTGCCTTGTCCTGCTCAGCCTTTTGAAGTGCAAGTTCAAGGTCCTCAATATCCTTCTTTAATCCACTGATTTCCTGATCTATCTTCTTTTTATTCTGGAATAGCTGGTTGCGGGCTTCCTCCTCCTGCTGTAGGCGTTCTGTGGTTTCCTGAGGGTGGGTAAGATGCCTTGGGTAACCATTCCATAATTATAATCAGGACTTATTTACAAAGAACACGGTCACATAACACTAAGACACAAACACTGCTAAAACTATCCAACACGACACTAGGGTTTAGGAAATCGTGGTAAGTCCTACCTCCACGATGGAGTGGGGAGCGTATAAGGAACCCATGCTGGCTACACCTATAGTTTACAAGGGAAGTGAACAAGGGGAGGGGTAGGGGCTACTCGTTACAGATCGTACACAAGACCACAGAGAGAAGCTGGGTCGTTCGTATGTCGCTGCCTGGGCCAGACTGGATGTAGAGACTTCCCTCAACCCCACCTCAGTGAGGTTGAGTCACGAGGCCACACCTGGCCCAGCTCATCACCACTTACGTAAACAACCCACCCACATCAAAGTCTAAAATTATACCCCCATATTTTTGCAAAGATGAGTTCCGCGTTTTACAAAAACTTCAAGTTAGCAAGTGAGGGCAAATGCCGATATTAAATAAAGAATTATATTATGGTATTCAAAGGTGGCTATGGGTGCAAAATTAAACATGACTTCATACTCCCTTCAACGCTGTTTACCAGGGGAGCTAAATAAAGCAAGGAGTGTTAAACCGCGAGGGCGTTGACGTGACGAATGTCCATGGTGGAGAGCTTGTGTGGGGGTTAATGAGATCTTACCTCTTAAGGGATTGCTTGTTATATACATTAAGGAATTATTGAGTATTGGAATTCTGCTTTAAACAGGTATTCTTCGCTATACTTACATTGAGTTGAGCTTCGAGATCGGCCTTCTGGCTCTGAAGTTTTGCCTGTTTGTCAAGGAACTCGGATACATTTCCTTTGGTGGATTCGAGAGCGACCATGAGATTGTTCTTCTCTTCGAGGAGAGCGAGATTTGCAGCTTCGAGCTCCTTGCGAAGCTTAGCCTCACGTTCGTAGTTTTGTTCAGCCTTTGCTGCCTTCTCCTCGAGAGCGCGGATCTCGTCCTCGATGCGGGTAACGTTGAGAAGGGGCTTGACCTTCTGCCAGAGACGGTACCAGGGCCAAGTGCGGAGTTGCATGAACTTCCTCAAGTTGCGCTGGACGACAATAAGGGCAACACGCTGTTCCTGGAGCCTCTTGTATGCCTTGCGGCTGGTGTAGCCTCGGATCCAGGACTGCAGCCAGGAGATGATTTTAGCCAGGCGGTCGTCACGAATTTCCTCAAGAGCACCGAGGACACCAGCACGGAAGAAGACCTGAGATAGTTAAGAATATTTTCAGACAAGAACTTGGGAGATAAAAATACTACTTAATATTTTGAAACTTTTATCACTTTATTACTGAGCAGAAGAGAAGTTACTTTACCTCTAGCGTACTGTTATTTACACTGGATTGCTGAATATGAAACTGAAACTTGACTTACCAGGTGAGTTAGAAAGCGAGACCCAAGATACAAGCGCGCGCTTCAGCTGAGATGCACGAGAGCAACGTACGCAAAAATATATATGACCATCAACACAGAAGGGAGGTGCACAGGGTATACAGTACATGCGGAAGGGAGTGTTGAGGTGGACATAACCAATGCCTTGTATTCACCGTCTTAGAAGAACTTGGTCATTGATCATTGGTTTAAGAATAGACAAATTACTATTAATGTTCTTGGTGGAGTAGTTTGTATCACCGAGTACAGGGAGGGGCCAATGAAAAAACATGCCTCCATAGTGGTGGCTGGAGAGGTTAAGGTGAAGGCCAACATGAGGAGGGCATCTTACAATGCCTAACTTTCCTTAGGCCGTACAGGGTTGGGAGATACATGGATAAAGAGGTGTTTAACAAAACGGAACACCTGGAACGAACAGGAAGTACATGTATGGCGTGAAAGTAAGACTTAGAAGGTAATAACTCCGGGCAGGATCAAAGTGTGTATCAGAAGACAAAGAAAGACGGACGCACATTAAAGATCCTTGTTGGCATTTTGCTCCTCTTGATACTAAGTCTAATCTCATAATATTCTTGGCACCACATTTTGTCTTGATACTAAATCTAAAATACTTTAATATGCAACACCACATTTTGTCTGTTCATCTACTCTATTATCACACTTCATAATGCTCACTAATAAATTCTATGGGAAAGTCGAGGTTGCTTTGATTGTATATGCATTGGCTTCTCGTCCATCTTAACGTAGAGGGATTGTTAGGTAATTTGGGGGATAATAGGTGCTGACGATACCACTAAGATAACTTTGATACTCAGCAAGTGGGCGTCCCGTCAGCACCAACCAAAGATCAGTTAATCACACCGACAACATGAAGAACAGGACACAAAGAGGGTAAGACAGATGATTACTACAAGGAACAACGAAGATACATGACTGTTCGAAAGTGACTCATACAAAAATTACAAAAAAGAATATTAGGAAGAGTTTCAACTCGGACTAATAGGATCTACTCTAAGCAAAGCTCCTTCTTCGGTTGAGATTCCGTAGAAGATGAAGATAGGAAGGAGAACATGCCTTGGTGTGGCCCATGCGGTATTTCTCTGCTTCCAGGGACACTTCGGTGAGCAGTTCTTGGGTGGCTTGTTTGTAGTCTTCCCCAAGATTTCTGGTTACTTTAGGATTGAGGATGTTGTATCTAGGGATTTCGAAGAGGAGGCAGTGTGAGTTTTCATGTCACTGTACAAACTACGAAAAAAGAATTTGGCCTATCGAGAGACATGCTAGTCAAAATTATAATAAAAACACGAGGTAATCAGACTTCAGGGCAGGGTCCTTCCAGCCAAGTCTTAGGAATGTGGGAGTATAATACAGGAACTTGTCTTTCGAGTACCTTATAAAACAGTGTAGGGGCAGATGGAGAGAAAAAAATAGATAGGGAAGATAAATTTCCGGTCTGTATTCAATCCAGAAAGGAGAGAAGGGAGAGAATGAACACACTGGAAATCAAGATGGTGAGTGTTTAGGAACTAAGTTAAGACACTTATTACAAAAAACACCATTCCCTCGTTCCCTTCTGTGGGTGAGGAGACATGCCTTGGTGTGGCCCATCCTGTACTTCTCGGCCTCCAACGAGATGACGTCAAGGATGACCTGACTCGCTTTCTTTTCATCTTCGGCGGCAGCTGCAGCCTTTGAGGCAAGGATGGAATATCTGTTGGACAGATTGTTGTGCTACAATACGCCCCAGAAGTATGTTATCTAGACCCTTGTTCAGTGGACCATACAACGTCTACACCACTATTCACAATCTCGTTCTGGTGTCTATTCTACTTCCGGGAGCGTGCTAATTCTTAGGGTATACTACAAATGGGTAAAATCTGACTCATCTAACCGGGATGACTGAACCCGTTTGACAAAATACAACATGGCAGAGTCACTGGCTGCCCGGGGATGCAATACACCTGGTGTAACTTACTCGGCTCTGGTCTTTGTGCAGGGAGATATAACTGGGCTAGAGGAATAAAGACTATTGAGCAAATGTATTCTCTCTTTAACTCGACCATGCACCAGGGAGTGGGAGGGTACAAGCAAACCTCATCCCCAACTATTCAACCTAGGGGAACGTGCCTTCGTGTGACCTATTCTGTATTTCTCAGCCTCGAGTTCGATGATTTCAAGGATGACCTTAGCTGCCGCTTTTTCATCTTCTGCTTCCGCAGCGGGTTTGGAGGCTAAGATACAATATCTGACAGGCGGAAAAAGCAAATGTAGGTTAGACAAGCCATTAGTAGCTGTGTAAGGAAGGTGATTCGTGAGGTAGTGTCCAGCGATAAAACTCTAATTTACCTTATTACAAGCTTTTAGTTTAGTCAAGGGACGTATTATAGTTCAAGGAATACAAACAATTTGACAATGAGACTTTAATATGGCTTTAATTAACTAACATTATATATATATATATATATATATATATATATATATATATATATATATATATATATATATATATATATATATATATATATATATATATATATATATATATATACATACTTATGAAACTATAGCTAAAGGAGACATTTGGTTCTCGCTGGACACAACACTTGGTGACCTCTCAGACACATGAAGTTACCTCACGAGATACATGTTCATGTTATATCAGGGGGAACAGTTGATCTCAGGAGACATTGTTTATTGAGGGAACACTTGGTTACCTCAGGCCACTTACAGTTACTGTAGGGGACACTTGGTTACCTCAGGCCACTTACAGTTACTGTAGGGGACACTTGGTTACCTCAGGCCATTTACAGTTACTGCAAGGGACACTTGGTTACCTCAGGCCATTTACAGTTACTGCAGGGGACACTTGGTTATCTTAGGCCACTTACAGTTACTGCAGGGGACACTTGGTTACCTCAGGCCACTTACAGTTACTGCAGGGAACACTTGGTTACCTCAGGCCACTTACAGTTACTGTAGGGGACACTTGGTTACCTCAGGCCACTTACAGTTACTGTAGGGGACACTTGGTTACCTCAGGCCACTTACAATTACTGTAGGGGACACCTGGTTACTTCAGGCCACTTACAGTTACTGTAGGGGACACTTGGTTACCTCGGGTCACTTACAGTTACTGTAGGGGACACTTGGTTACCTCGGGTCACTTACAGTTACTGTAGGGGACACTTGGTTACCTCAGGCCACTTACAGTTACAGGAGGGGACAATTGGTTGTCTTGTAAGACGTATATCATGGTTATTAAGACAGAAGCATAATATTATAGTATAGGACACAGTTATCTTGCAGAACATATACAAGTAAACATATATCGGACGTACACAATAAAATTTCAAGTGTAGTACGATCAACCCGGCGCCATAAGTAAAACAACTATAAAAACAAGGAAACCGATAATCGTAACTTCGAGTAATCCGGTTAACCATAGCCAAAGGGCGAAGCAATAGCAGTAACGTAGTGAACCTGTTAAGTGAACTGTCAAAGGAAATGTCGTGCGCCCGACCCGGTTAGGTGAAACATTCAAAGTGAAATAATGGACTGGGCAACCGAAATGACCAGGGCAACGTTGTGACCCTGGCATCGTAGGAGAGCCAAAAATCTTACAACACGAGAGGATAGAACAATACTGTAGTATGTAGACTTATCACCTGTATGCACCGGCAGCCAGCCATCCTAGTTTTCCTGTACTGCTTCACCTCTGATCGACAACAGTGATTAGCAGTAAACGGGTCTATTTATTTAATTCCTTCGGTTCTTCACTGCAAGTCATCTTTTAGGAACGTAGTTCGCACAATATTTGGTCTGCCTTCTTGCTGCTTAAAGTAGTCATTTAGTTATAAAACTCCCAAAGTTTAGGTTAACCTAATTTGGTGACGAATTTTAAAAAGCACAAAGGAATAAGGTAAAATCCTAAAATGTCTACAACTGACCGAAAATTACTTCAAACAACGTCATAGCGAACTCATATTTAAAACCAATTGAAATTCTTGATATAAAAAAGATTTCTTTTTGCTCCCTCTCACACGGGTGACTGCATTTATAAGCCTAAAAGTGTAAATAGGATGCCAAGTGATGTCAGTAATGATTAAGGTAAACAATTTATATTTACTGGATGTTAATTTGATCTTTGGTATCGTTTTCTATAGAAAACATATATTTGTCATATTAATATACTAAAGTGTACTTGGGTACTTGAATATGATGAACTGATTTGCATATTAGAACTTTAACACCTTTAGCCAGAATATAAGCGTCGAGTGATTCCTACCGACACCGCTATTGAGGTGAAAACAGCAGTTTACGAATAAAAGCAAGAACAAGGTTACTGTACTAGAGGGTAAGAGTGCATCACTTGTTTCTCTGAAGACACAGTTAAATTGTCAGTGAAATAAATACGGTATGTAAATTATTTGTGTTATAAACAAAAGCAACTATTAACTAATAATTTATCCTAAGCACAGGATTTTCAACAAATCCTAAATTCACAGTATTCAAACATGCGTGCGTATACTGTATATTTTAAACAACTGAATAGTGGTTATCGAAAATTTAAAAAAATCGTCTTGATGATATTAAATTGCATAAAGGTACTAATCTTATTTCACAATATTTCACAAAATGGCGGTGCGCCTCAGCTTGTGACAAAATGGTTCATCTTACACCTGATGCGTCGTAGGAGAAGCGCGCGATTCTTCAAGAAACCAAAAGACTTTAGCGTAAAATTATTTTGAGTGTAAAAACGGTTCAATATCCTCTCTTTCTGTTGTAAAACCTTAAGGCCGAACGACAAGAGAAATACTGTATATTACCAGGACAAAAGACGGTTTACCAAGGAAGAAATTGAACACAAAGAAAAAACAAAGATAAAGGAAAATGGTCACTGTCGCTCGCTTGTCTGGTTTATCACCTTCAGGTTCATCAGCAACTGAACACAAAGTTGTACAGTACCTACCCGTTCAAGCCCTTTGTCAACATCTTGGGCAAGTAAATGTTATATTAACATGCAAAAAGTGTTAGAATATAGGTATTATAAAAATTAGATATTGGAAATTGATATAGGAAATCATAAACCGAAAAGAAATAATAAATAAAATATAACAGAATTAGGTGACGATATTGTTGGGGCTAGAGAACGTGTTGCTGTCTTTATATTTTAAAACTGATAAAGTGTTGCTGTAGTATGTTTCATGTTGACTAATTTAAATTACTTTATCTAAATTAAACATGAACCGAGTAGTCTGTTAGAAATTACACCAACTAGAATTTTGAGGAGGTAAGTCTTGATGCATCATTTTGGTGAAGTATATGGTCATCTGATCTTGCATTTTGATGTTGTCTGGGTTGCAATAATCTGAGCGTGTTGGTAAATGAAAATGAAGAAAGCCAACTGTTGATTGTGGATGTTTAAATGAAAACCGAGGGAATAGGATATATATATATATATATATATATATATATATATATATATATATATATATATATATATATATATATATATATATATATATATATATATATATATATATATATATATATATATATATATATCACATTCTTCCACAATCAAGCATTAAAATCATTAAGTGTTTGAGTTGAGAGCATGTTACTTTTTCCAAAGATCTGATTATCACTTGTCAGTAAACGAAGAAAAGGCCTGTGTAATAACTCAGGTTGGTGAAGATAGAAGATGACCACACGAGAGATCGAACAGTCCCTGTCTCCACTGGGACTGATGAAACACGAAAAAGACGAAAAATATTTTAACTTAGTTACCAAATCCAGTCATAATGTTAGTGAAACACTTTCTGTCTTCCATGGCGATAAAATGGCCATGATGTGGTATTTTAAGACGGAAAAACATAAAATAAAATTGTTTAGACGATAAAATGGCTTTGGTATGGCCATGATGGGGTAGTTTAAGAAAGAAATACAAATGAAAAAGCAATGTTTAGTTATTCTGAAAATGGGTTGCATCTGTGTGAGGATGACCCACGCCAACATGCCTTGGTGTGACCCAAGCGGTACTTCTCTTCATCCATCTTGATAGAGTCCAGGCAAACCTTAGTGGCATTCTTTTCGTCCTCAGCGTTATCCATGGCCCTGGGAGCCAAGATCTTGTAGCTGAAGAAGTATCATGTTAAGATGATGATGGGTGGTGTCACAGGACCATAATCTCACTACCTTCACCTTCCTCTGCTCTAACACTTGTGTGTTTAATATTATATTGTCGGCACTGTGGTAAGGTATGTACTTGCCTTCGCTTTGTGGATATTTCTTACTGACAAGCAGTTATCCATGTTCTTACTTCGTCTATATGAGTACACAAGTTGTTGGTCATAAGAGATCACTCTTTCTACCATACCCTTTTCTTAATTGTCTCATTAATATAAATCTTAGCAATTTATTTTATAATTTATCTAAAGACAACTTTTAATAGAAGTCTCCTAACGTAGTAATAATTGTGCTGGCAATGACGGGATCACTCATTTGGCCGTGAGGGAGCAACTTGTTATAAATATTTCGCATCTTAAACAATATAATTATGAATTAACCATGTTGAAATATTGACAAGAAAGTTTAGAAGCTTGAAACGGTTCATAATGTTCCAGAGTAATGCGACTCAGCTCTAAGCATCTGTACAATAAACAAGACCATGGAGGTACTATAAAGATGGTATAAAAGAAATTGGCCTTAACGGAAAATTTCACAAGAAGCATTTAAAGAAATTTCTCATTGCTTTTAAGAAACAGTAATATCGAAACTTGGAGAAATTATCCATCTGATAATCTGTAAACATGAAAAAATTGTGTTTCATTAGAGTAACTCGCAAGAGCCTGAAAAAAAGTACAAAACTCATTGATTATGGTAGTGAGGTGTTGTGAAGCCTGAACACGTGAACATAACGTAGGAAATAACGATAAAGCCGCGGCCTGGAAAAAAAGTTTCATTTATGGTTTCATAGTACAAGAATTTTGTCTTATGTTTATATAATATTTTTTAACATAATATTAAACGATCTTGGTATAAGATGTTTATTATTCTTACACAATCTCCCTATCAATTAATTACTCTGAGAGCAACACTCTCATTAACATTGAGTTTATATATATATATATATATATATATATATATATATATATATATATATATATATATATATATATATATATAGACTGAAATTATTATTGTTTATTTGTTATTTCTTTTTCCAGGAGTATCTGGTGAACTTACCGATGCTTGAAGTCGGGATAGACCATCCTGTTAGGGAAGCCCTTGCGACAGATACGGATACCCTCAAGCACGCCGTTACAGGTCAGCTGATGCATGACCAGTGCAGCGTCGATCACACCTGTTATGGGATAAGAAAACGGCATCACTTGTATGTGCTGGAGCCCCTGCTGAGCCCAGTAACGCCTGAGGACCAGGAGATCACCTTCTAGTTCAAACAACTAGGTGGCCCAGCAGGGGCGGTTCATGGATGTGAACTGATGGCAGCACCAGACGGCGAGTCCCAACACAGGATACATTGACGCCAACTGTTACTAGTCTGACAGAGGAGTGTGTGCAAAATACTACGATATATTCAAGGTAAGACTGGATAGGAAATATCTGATAAAATACATTAAGATTAGATGCTTAATTGTCTCAGCTAGATTCTTTAATCTGTAAGCAAAAAACAGCTTTTATGACTACTAATTATGACAGAAAACTTGTGTCACTCAGACGTCAAATTTAAGCTTACGGAGTAGCCGAAAGGATGAATAAGAATCTTGTAAGAGAATATTAGTAAGACGGAGGTAAAGTGAGTATTTAGTGAAGTTGATTTTTTACCATACTGAATGTAAAGAGGGAAAGGGTGGCAGGATGGTATGTTGGTTGTATGGCCAGTGGCGGCATATCTTACCAGGTTCCTTGATTTCGTTAGGGATGATGCAGCGCACGAAGTGTGGTGAAGTACGTCTCAAAACAGTCATCAGGTTGTTAAGCTGTTCCTGAAGAATGAACGATAACACAGACTAAGACAGGACCTACAAGGACACCAAAACCCAATAGCCGGGAGATGGGACACAGCGGGTCACCTGTTGCGTGGTGTGTAACCGCTCTACCACACTGCACACACATTAAACTGGGGTTTGTATTAGGATGCAGCAACATCACATTGCATACATATTTAGATGTTGGAATGAACAAGATCAAGGCTGGTGAAACGAACAAAACATGGGAAAGGTATCAAGAACTAGAGACTGAAGGCGACAGTAATGATTAACATAGTTTAAGTGGAAGACATTCACAGTAGTTTAGATTCATATAAAGGGAGACATTCGGGTATCCACTCCAGTTAATGTGGAGTTAAGAATACTCTGGTGGACGAATAACAAGACATTGATACAGATTCGGACCAACTAGGTCCTGTTCAATTAAGTGTTTGGGTTTAGGCAACACTGGGACCTTACCAGGTGCCTTAATTTCATTAGGGATGATACAACGGATGAAGTGAGGTGCAGTGCTCCTGAGGACAGTCATCAGGTTGTTGAGCTGCTCCTGGAGGAGGGAAGGGAAGGAAATATTTAGAAAGGAAAAGTTCATAATACCTCCTTTTCCATTAGGGTTATAATATTACGTGGTGTCGGGTCAGTCTCAGGTCCCGTTGAGACAAATGGAGTTATACAGTTTGTATACAATAGTTCATGGTTTTTTTTGTCCTGTTGAACTATGGAGGAGGCGAGTTTCACTTATCCATTTAAGGGGCAGGTTGAAGGGAGGATGGAACCAGTTGTCAGATGTAAAGACAGTGGGAAACCGACCGTCAGGTTAAGGTAGACGGGAACATAACACCAGATAGACGGATGAAGGAACAATTTGGACAGAAAGGGCTACTTAATTTGGGAGATTCAAACTTGTTAATACGTGTGTCTGGGATAACCTTGTTCAAAAAGGTGTTGGGTAACTGTGTTTAACTTAGCTCTAATTAGGGACCTTACCAGCCGCCTTCTGTTCATTAGGGATGATACAACGGATGAAGTGGGGGGCTGTTTTCCTTAGCGTTGACATCAGGTTGTTGAGTTGCTCCTGAGAAGGACCACAGGGGGCAGTTAGGAATATGATTTTTGTGATGGACAACATGAGCTAAGATTTATGGAAGTCCTTTTTCCAGTGTTGGGAACGGCATGCGTGTGGATGATTATAATGATAGTGCTACTAGGAAACATGTCATGTTCCTTTAGAGGGTGATGTACTGGGCTCTACGAACCTTTGTTCCATAACGGTTCGAGATAGAGTAATATTTCCTAATCTAATATCGGAAGAGGGTTTACCACATTTCAAAGTGGATTATATTTTCAATGGCCAACAACTAATTTGCCAGTGCGGCCAATTAAATCCGTTTAAGTATGGATTTTGTAGAGGTGATGAAGGGGTAGAGACACACATATACAGGCAGCTCTCCTTGCAGGTTTCGTATCTCAGCTACCCTTGTAGAAGATCACGTCAATGGTCGTATACTGGTTGTAGAGGGGTAGTGGTTTAAATGAAAGAAGGACACAAGATATACAAAACAAAACTTTACAGGGAATCAGAAAACGTAAAAAGTCCTCCGGGAGGTACTAGGGAGGACAGGGGGTGCACGGTGGGGAGGGGAGTCATCAATCTTACCAGACTGCTTCATTTCATTAGGGATGATGCATCGGATGAAGTGGGGAGAGGTGCTCATCAGGGTGGTCATCAGCTTATTTAGTTGCTCCTGGAGTTAAATCGGGTAAAGGAAGAAATGGCACCAATTAATTTATAGAAAATGTGTGAAGAAAGGATCCCCAGAGAGGGAGGTGAGTGTGAGGGGGCTCATGGTGAGTGTGGGTGTAGTGAAAGAGGTGAGTGTGAGTGTGGTGGTGGTTGGGGAAGAGTGAGTGTGGGTGAAGTGAGAGAAAAAGAGAGTTGAGTGTGGGTGTTGTGAGAGAGTAAGTGCGGGTGTAGTGAGAGAGAGATGAGTGTGGGTGTAGTGAGAGAGTATGGGAGTGGGTGTAGTGAGAAAGAGTTGAGTGTGAGTGCTAGCAGTATTGGCATATGCAAAGTTTAAGGATATCGCAGCTCTTATAGCAGGTTGTGAAAATGAATTACAAAACTGATCAAAATATTAGTGGAAAAAAGGTGAAGAATATTGGCCTTAAAGTAATGTAAAGACGGAATTAATGGTTATCCACAACTTAAAAAATAAATCAATTATTGACTAAAATTAAGGCAGCAACGGGAAATTGAACAAGTGGGATATTTTTGTATTTTTTGTTGTTTCCAGAAGTACTGTACCATAAGAAGTAAAAGTTAAATTAAGTCAAGAATAAGTCAACCGAATACATTAATTAATAATATTAGAGATCTGCTGAAAATAGATATTAACTTTGATATAAATGATAGAGTGGGGGGGTTGCTGAAATGTAACATATGGTCAGTACTGTACTTTCCTAAGGGTAAAAAAAGTGGACACTTTTAGGAGACACCAGACACTTCGAATGTGGTGCAACAGAAGAATGCTAAAAACAATTTATAAAGATAAAATAAAACAAACTAAAAAGAACTTTGATTGGTTAGAGCAACGAAATTGATGCTGGAACGCTATTGAACAAGAAAAATGAGATACTTTAGTAATATAAGTAAGGTTGAGGGGATAATGGTAGGGATACTAACAGGTAAAACTGAGGGTAGGAGGGCCAGGGGAAGGCAGAGACTGGAATGGATAAATGAAATTAAATGTTGGGTCCCCGGAGAGAAGCAAAACCTGGAAGGGTTGGTGAAGACTTTAAAAGTAGACGGCCAATGTCACCAACCCCTGACATAATGATAAATATTAATTATTGATTGGCAGAATATCCAGTAATGATAATAAGAAGACTTTATGCTGTAAATGGGATAAATAAAGCCAACAGGGGTGTAGTGTTGCTGTGAAGGGACGCGTGTTGTGGAAATACATCTGTGTCAACCAAAGATATTAAAACAGACATCACCATACATAATCCTTTGATAAGTTAATATTATTATTCGCATCAAGATACTTGATATGTTAGATGTGGGAAGATCAGCCTTCTTATGGGTGTTGGTGGAATGGTAAAAAAGACAGGCAGTTACTTGTAACGGGGATCAGGTGAGGACTGCCAGCGTCCCAATGGGTGTGTATGAGGGCATTTTTACCTATTCGAAAATGCTGGTAACAATACAACCGACTGTAAAGATGTTTAGTGATGCGCAAGTGAATGGTTGCTCACGAGGGAGACGCAGTAGGTCAGGTCATGTGACATCACAGCTAATTCAGCTTACATAACAGGTTAAAGATTATCAGAGGACACTATGCTGAGATGATGTGGTTGGGTTTATCACGATTAATAGAAAAGGGTGTGATACAGGCGCCGCGTGCTTAATTGGTTCCAATAACGCCCGTGGAAGTACTACTACTGGAGAACAGGGGATGGCCTTCCTGCAGCCTTCTTTCTCTTTGTAACGCTTTACTTTTGCCTCAGTTACATAATCACTCTCAAACTTAAAAAAAAATCTTCAGCATTTATTATATTCCCCTTTTCTTTTTCTCTTCATTCACATTCTCGTATTATCCTTGCACTTTTCCGCCCAGATGAAAAGTATGTGAGCTGTACTGGCAGAGGGTGCAGATCATAAACATGACTCTACAGCACACCTGTCTCATAGTACAGTAAGTTTACCTAAACCTCGTAATAACAGACAGGGAGGCGGTCCAGACGGTAGACGAAAATACTATAACAGGTTTCCCAAGGCCTCTGCCTCAGCCACACCTTATTCATCAATCGATCTAGCCGCTTGGTTTGTATTTTTATCACACATCTTTCCAGCCATTTAGCGTCATAACGACAGGAAACATCATAAGAAAATCATCAGTGCAACAAACATTATCCTCGGTCCCCAGCCATAATCCTCAACCACCTTCAACAATATTATTACACTTTGGTAATATATGACACAGCCACACTAATAAATTATATTCATTTTCAAGTTTCCATATTCTGTTTCTTACAAAATCTCAGCAATTTTCCATCTAATGACCCCAGTAACTCTAATTCCAACATACTCGTACGTTCATCCCTGTCTTCTTCCACCATCAGAGCACCTGTGCCTTCATCCGAGCACCTAGACCTAAACAAAACCAGGGAACCTGACGTCATCCCACTCCTCAATCTCAAAATTTGCTGAACTTGTTTCTCATCTTACTAAACTTATAAATCTCTCTTACTCCTCTTATACTCTCCCCCCATCTTGGAAACCCATTCCTTACAAAAAGTTGTTCCACCTTTTAACGCCATCCACCGTCCTACACCGTCCACCGTCCACCGTCCTATAACATTTACTTCAATTATCTCCAAAATAATGGAATCTGCCATAAACAGACAATTTACTCCAACAACTTAAACATTACCAACTCCGGACTGACATTCACTGCGGTTTGCGCACCACCACACGCCTGCTTCCTTTCCCGACCCAGAACCTTATCTGTTGCACTTGATAGTTTTAAAATTTCGATAGGATATGATATGAAGTTCTCCTCGACAGACTGTCCTCATTTGGCCCTCCTGATTCTTTACTATCTTAGATTTCCTCCTTACTCTCCAACCACCACCTCCGTGAAGTGGTGGACAGTTCACATTGTCACTGCCTGCCGTTGAGTGCTGAAGTACTCCAAGGGTCAGTTCTTACTATTATCTTGATATTACTTCAAGTGTATGAACTATTTGCCATTCCTACGGCAGGAGATACTCCTTTACTGTCGATCAAAAAACCTACACGAAAGTTTATCTCATCAATATTATCGTGACCCAGGCAGTATTTTAACAGATCGCCTAAATATCACAACTACTATGAAGATTGTTGTTGTTGTTGTTTGACAGCGGGGCCCAAGCAACTGAGCTAAATTGCTCAGTGCTGTCAAAATTTTAACTTTTGTTGTCTATTATACGCAAGATTACTCATTACCAGCTGTCACTTTCCTGCAATTATTTCTACACTAACTTGTAACCTCTGCCAGAATCACCTCGTTTCTAACATTACCCCCCCAAAAAACCTAAACAGTTTTAGGTTCCTCTTTCTAGTTCACCTCATGAGACCTTCTTACTCCTATAAAAGCTCACACATCGAGTCTGTCTGAGAGTGCTGCAGGATGGTCACCTTGTAACAAGTTTTTACACCAAATGGTTGCCTCAGTTTGTCCATTAATGGAAAAAACAAAAAAACAAAAACAAAATTAAAACAGGACTGGAGTTGTCCTTTAAGGCTGTGATATATAGGATAAGCTGTAATACATTATACTATACATGAAATACTTCATCAATTATATTATGTGCATTAATGTATTATTATAAGCATTGTATACATGTAATACATAACGCGCAGCAAAGGGAAGGGACAATGGGGGGGGGGGGAGTATGGCCTTTATATTTGTCCAACAATAGTGAAAGGTGGAAGGGCTGCGTTAAAGTGGGGAGTGACTGTGGAAGGGGGTGCCTCCATGGGTCAGGCATGAACATTTTGAAGACGCCTGCCACGTGGAAGGAGGAGGGGAGGTTGAAGGAAGACGGGAGGTTACGCAACACAGCACTAGTGCACCTAGACACAGCATATTTACCTTGTACATGCCGGACACTGTCTGGAAGCCGGAACCCTTTGCGCGTTTGCCGCCTGCAGGAAGAACACAGACGAGGTTCATCTAAGGCGTATTAGCATTATTTTATCACAAGACAAACATACAATTTAGCTTTTATGGATTGTGTTAGCTGTCAGGCGGATCAGTGTGGGTAACTACGGGTTACTGTATTATTCTATGATCTCTAATTTTATTTTTGGAGAAAGGAAACTAACTACGAGACACTGACGTGGACGACACCCAACACGGAGGCGTTCTACCTTGGCGTGGCCACCTACGCGCTTTCTGCAATTTGCAACATTGGGAAATATTTACCCTGTAAAGCCCGGAAACTGTCAGGAACCCAGAACCCTTTGCACGCTTTCCACCTGTAGGCAGACAACACTCTCATTATCCGTGGCTTAGGACGAGAGATTCCAACCTGGCTCTTGAAGGCTGTCTACTCGGGCTGGATGGTCATGCGGCCCCGCCACTCAGTAACCCTTTACTCGACTGGCGTCGCCTCAAGTCACAAGTGAGACGACTCCAAAATGAATATATAATGACATACTCATCAACTATATAATAGTTATATACAGTAGATAGGGTGTGTAGGTAAAAATATATTTACTGTATAGTTGTCAATCAAGGTAAAAACTAATTGTTGGTTGCAGGCGACATGCAGCAGTGGCAACAATTGCCACTGTAGGGAACAAGCATCTTTGTCCTGGCAAGTTATACTGTATACAGGATTCACCTTCACTTAGGTGTTTATTAATATTTTACGTCTTAATCCCTAACTATATAAAATATTGAGTTTTAAAATTTTTAGCATTACTTGATTAAATTGATATACTTCTAAGAGAAATGATGACAAATCTATAATAAATGCTATATAATCATGAGGAAGTTTTAGAAGGTACAGGTGCACATGTTGCAGCAAGTTAAGACTTGTTGCACCAGTTATTTATTGAACTACTCTTCTCGTTAATATTGTTATAAAATTCACGTTATATGTCATCAGAAATGCAAAAGGAAATTCATGGTAAAGACATTACTAGTAGAAAATTATGAATGAGAAACAAAAGCGTAAAATGAGAGTCAGAGAATATCTCAGTTCCTTCATCCCCTACGTGAACTTCACTGTGAAAAATGTAGGGCGTCAGCTAGACGATAGCACGAGGCTGCAGCCATACTCTGTGGGGGAGACACCTCTTGTGAGTTTGTCGGCCCTTCATTCATGTTTATCACAATAGTTGAAATAAATAAAATGGATATTGCACAACGTGATCTTAATTTTGTTTTAATGTTGATAGTTCTGTCTGGCAAGAATGTGAACGTATAAGTACAGTATTTAGCCAAGTACGACTCCTGGGTGTCTTATGTACATAACCTGTGTCAGTATTCTGTACTCACCACCTTTGCCGCCGCTAACATCAGCACCACCGGACTGGCCGGCGTGATCGAAGAAGATTTCAACAGATAGAGTGTTGTTAGCCTTCTTGAGCTGGTCGACGACGGTGTCGTTGAGGGGATCCTTGTTCTTCTCGAGCCAGCCAGTGAGGTTGTAGGGTACGGTGCCAGCATAATGAACAATGGCGAAATGAGCCTCGGCTTGACCTGGCTTGGGAGGCTTTGGCTTGATGAAGTTGGGAGATTTGCCAAGATGGTTGGTCTTCAGCTTTTCCTCGAAGGACTTGTCAGTAGCCTTAGGGAACATAGACTCCTCTTCAAGGATGGAGAGGATGCCTAGAGGCTAAGGGGAAGCAAAGAACACAGCATTAGCTAAGGCAAAGCGGGAGACGCAGGTCAATTCCGTACATAAGAAATAACAGTCTTGGAACTACTGTACAGTACATTGGATTTTGCATTTTAATACGTACAATCAAGTATTTATGTCATTAATTACTTTCATAAGAAATACATTACGGTACATGAAGCAATGCCAGTGATAAAATTGTGTTGAGCTTACCTGGGAGTCTAGTTCTGAAGGGGAAATACACATAAGAATTCTTAAAATTAAATTTCAGCTATTGGGTTAAAGTAGCAATGATAACAGGCTAAGTTGTACCAAGAAAGAGTGCATGGAGATTGAAGAACAAAGCGCTTGAGATGTAACAACATTCAGTGCCAACCTATGTATCTTACGTTCCATTGCATACACTGGAATCTGGTAGCATGAGTTGGCAGACGAGCCAGCAGATAGGAGTTGGGGACGCCGGGTGGATACAAGTAACAGTGAAGCACAATAATTAGTTAGTTACGGGTGTGACGGTGAGACAGCAGTGTGACGCGCTCAGTGATAATGATTCTAGCATGATTACTTGGTCACGTCTGTTGGATAGTAAATGGGATGTACAGATGACCATGTAAAGGTATATTATCACCAAGAGCATCACGGGGAGATGGATTGCGCACATGGACATGTGTTCCCTCTTACTGTTTTGTGGTAGAGGTTACCTTCTCTAGGAGGTCAATACAAGCCTGGAGGTCAAGACCAAAGTCAATGAAGGTCCAGTTAATTCCCTCCCTCTTGTATTCCTCTTGTTCCAGGATAAACATATGATGGTTGAAGAACTGTTGTAGTTTCTCGTTTGTGAAATTGATACACAGTTGTTCAAAACTGTTGAACTGGAGGCAAGGAGAGGGACTTCACATCAGTATTGTACTATGTAATGTAATATACATAAAGGAAAAACAGAGTTAGGTTTGGGGACAAAGAACAGTGGCCGTCGTTGGGCAAGTTGTTCTGTGACAGTACACCGAAGAAAATCATGGGGGGTCACGTCACGTTCACAGGGGTTATAATTACGAATCAAGGTAAACTATGGGACACAGGGATGGTGTCATAGTCACCACTTGACCTGGTACACTGAGGGGAATATAGGATGATAACGGACAAGATAGATAACATAGAGATCCTGCACATCCTGGTGAAGACCTAACAATGGACTCTAAGATTGGCACTGTCGTTTTACCTTCTCGATTAGTTCAATGCACGCCTGAAGGTCCAGACCAAAATCAATGAAAGTCCAGTTAATGCCCTCTCGCTTGTACTCTTCTTGCTCGAGGACAAACATGTGATGGTTGAAGAATTGCTGCAGTTTTTCGTTGGTAAAATTGATGCATAACTGCTCAAAGCCATTAAACTGGAAGGTGGTAATAGATGTACGGGGATTAGGAAAGTTAAGCTACAAGATGCAGACGGGAGAGATGGTGCCTGGCCTCGTCATAGATGGCCACTGGGTAGGGGGAAGCTGGGAAAGGATTAAAAGTTATAAGTTCACAGTGGTATGGGGTCCTGTAATGCGGATAGAGACCGTAGATCCAGAATTATTTTTGTTTTGCGGAGGATTTTGTTGTGGTTCTCCATAATATGGGAATCCACGAAATTATAGAGGATAAGGAAAGCTATAGTGGACAAAAAGAAACCAGTCGTACACGGTTCTCTGTTGTGAGATCCATGCTAAGGAAAAATGCTGAATTTGTAATTTTTCAGTAAGGAGTACATGCGTGTGAAGGTAAGGTGCCCGGTAGTTACCTTCTCAATAAGCTCAATGCAGGCCTGAAGATCTAAGCCAAAGTCAATGAAAACCCAGTTAATGCCCTCTCGCTTGTACTCTTCTTGCTCGAGGACAAACATGTGATGGTTGAAGAACTGTTGTAGTTTCTCGTTGGTGAAATTGATGCATAACTGCTCGAAGCCATTGAACTAGGGAAGTCGAGATCATACACGAGTGTAAGTTTATACACACAACTCAATGATATCATACCGAGGGAAGATTTGGTTATTCATGTCCTTTCACCAAAAGGGGAAATGAGTAAATGGTATAATAAGGGCCAGGTTAATAAATCTAAAACCTCCATGTAAGAGAGACTACAAATCATGGGAGTCATGTGTGATGGCCGTGTCCCAAGGCCAGGGAAAACACTATGGTACATTAAGAAAGTGGAAAATGGTCTGCCAGTTGAATACGCAGGGTGGGAATTATACATTGAAAAGAGGGGTTTATCACTTCATATAGAGGGAAAGTCGTACACGCATCCTGGGAACACGTGCCAGGTACTGTACATCAACAACCTGAGACAATCTGAGGGTGAGGGTAGGCGTTCACTAGATACCATTTTCCGTAAGGTTCTATTGCTGGAAAATGGCGTTGGAAGAGGGAGATACATTGTCCTTCATATACGAGAAGACGTAAAAATGACCGAGAGTTGTTACCTTCTCAATGAGCTCAATGCAGGCCTGGAGATCTAAGCCAAAGTCAATGAAAACCCAGTGAATGCCCTCTCGCTTGTACTCTTCTTGCTCGAGGACAAACATGTGATGGTTGAAGAACTGTTGTAGTTTCTCGTTAGTGAAATTGATGCAAAGTTGTTCAAAGCCATTATACTGTTGGGGAGAGTGAAAGACATAATCTATACTGCGTTGGGATCTTCCTGTCTCGAGTGCTTTATCCTCCCTCTTCAGTAGTTGGACTATTATGCTTACAGCGACACCCAAATCATTAATGGTGATGGACTGCCAGTAAAACACTGCAGTTTAGTGAAATTCCTATTTAATAGAAATAGTTCTTAAATTAAACGATTCGGTCAAAATGGAAAATACTTGAAGTATTATCGAATTAAATCAATCCTCGTAGACATTGTATAACAGAATATATCAAAGGGGACATCCTAACGTACGGGGGGGTGGGGGGGAGGGTTGTTGAGACCAAGAAAATATATGTTTATTAGTCAAAGATATTAAATACACGTATAAAGAAAATGACAGACGGACCAAAGCTGGAAAAAATTATCTCGTTGTATTGGATTGTTTCCAGTTTTTTTCCCAATACAATACAATATATGCATTAAGATGAGGGACTAGTAGGGAGTAGTGGGGAGTGGTGGTGGCGTGGCAGGTTAACAACAACATAAAGAACAAAACGAGGGAAACAGTGTTGATGCTGCATAGTCGGCTGACCTCCGCCTTCGCTGCTCAGAAAAAAGGTTATTGTCATGCAGTGAGGGAGGTGGGAGGGAATACTCAAATCCTCGAGGGCAATACATTAAAATGTTAGTATCATGGTAACTCCCGACAGTGAGCCTTCCGGATGCGTTTAGTATATGGAAGCTTCTGTTGACTGTACTTTATGTTGGGAGTTGAGTTGGAAGTCTACTAACGGGAAGAACTATGATACTGATATTTTCTGAGGAACAGTTCACACAAAAAGTTTTCTCCAGGATGGTGCCAACTCTACCTAACAAGAAGCTGACTATCTATACGACCTGGCCAGCACACGTCTTGGGCCACACTTCTCATGAAAATATTTTAGTGGAAATTTTGTACATCTTATGGAAGTTTCCGTAAGTCCACTTTAATTATTTCGTGTATTTATTAGTCGAGCACAAACATAAGGTGATTGAACACCTGTTTATTTGTTTTATAAATATATTTGTTTAAATTTACTCGAACCTGTTTAATGTATGAAAAAGGAAAGGCAGAAGGAGAGTGTCATGGTAGGGACCGGCAGAGGAGGAAGATTGAGGGAGTAAGGAAGAGAAAAGAAAATGAAGATGTGTGGCAAAGTATGGAGGGGGAGAGAAGGAGGGAGGGCTATGACCAATTAGTCTCTCTAGAGATTCAATAAAAGCCATCCTCATGGGTCCAGTGCTATTTAGTACGGGAGGAAACCGCAATGCACGTGCGATGTTCGGAAGGTAACTTTCTTACATATGGTGTAAGCGGGAATTGAACCCGCATTGCGTTGGCAGGAGGCAAGGTGTGTGCGACATAGTAATGACAGTATGAGGAGGAGGAGGAGGGTATGTGATATATTGGGAGCATTGAAAGAAAGAAGAAGAGTTGTGACATAATGGGGACGGGGAGAGGAAGAGGGGGAGTAATAAGAGAGCTAAACCTCTCATCTCTGGTTTCTTCACCTATCGACACCGACTACAGAGAACTTATGTATTAGCAGGGATAAGTAAGATGGGCAGAAGGTATCACTCGGAAGATGCTGCAGCCTGGAAGAGAAGGGCGCTGGGCTGGTAAGGAGGTGGGGGATCATCCAGACTGTACTGTCTTTTAAAGTCGGAATTAGAGAGCGGAAACGTTGTCTTGGCTCAGTATAAGGGTGGTATCAAACTGGAGCAGCTAGTGGTGGTAAGGAGATAAGTCACTTCCAGGTGTGCAGTACTGGAAGAACACACTGAGGGACGTGCGTGAGGGGGCAGGGGGGACATCTCATTAGCCTTTGGGGTGAACTAGTACCTCTCAAAAGCTTAATACAAAACTTCAGATCCAAACAAACTCAACAGAGATACAGTATGTAGAAACTTGCCGAGAATTCTCATTAGAGCAGCTGGTTCAGATCTGCTCCAAGTCGTGGTAGTGTTTACGTTAAAACGGGGAACATTGTCATCACTGGTGGGGAGGGGCAAAGAATGGGGGTGTCAAGAATATCAGAGAAAAGTGAGGGGCGGCGCCATGTGTGGCGCCAAGTCTGGACAATCTTGCCTCATTCTTTGAACACTACACTGACCTGACGGGTCTTACAAGGTGCAGCTGTTGGCCAAGTTTGTCCATGCTTACAAGTCTCACAGGATCACATCAAATATTAAGTTCTCTAAAGTTCTGCTGAAAACAATATCACGATTTTATATCAAAGAGAAAATATGATTAGTTATTTCATGGAATCAAATGCCGTAGCTTGTGATCTATTGCAGTATTCAGAGTATATCATAGCTAAAGATGGTAAGGAACTTACGTCGAAGATCTCGAAGCCGGCAATATCAAGTACACCGATGAACATGACACGCTTCTGTCCGGTCTCCAGTGTGACGTTACACTTCTTTACCAGCCACTTGAAGGTGCGATCATAGATACCCTTCGCCAGGGCACCCACCGAGTACGTCACCTGATCCTTGTTCCTGCCCTGGGTCACGAACTCGTTACCGACCTTGATCTTGGGCTTGGTCAAGTTTTTGTATAGGTCAGCACCTTCCACACCCATGAGCTTCGCCACATTTTCACCTTCCTGTGGGGGATTAGGAGGTCATCCGCTGACTTTGCACGACCATGTTATCGTGATTTTTATCTTACCAGCACACCACTCGTATCTTATCACCAAATACGTGTTCAAGATTAAGCGACACGAAACTGAAGTGTGACCTTACCGCTGTGCCGTCGGCCTCAGCCTGCTCCTCGCGACCCCTCTGCTTGAACTTCATCTCACCAAAGTGCATCACAGCGGCGGTCACCTTGTACACGTTCTCTTTTTCTTCGTGCGAGAAGCCGAGCACGTCGAAGGCCTCCTAGGATATGGGAATTAAGGTGTCAGGAGGAGATAATTAAGGACGGTAGTCTTCTTCGTTATTTAATTTACTGTAAATTTACTTGCAAAATATAAAGCGATCAAGAAGTATTTCCATAAAAGAAATGTTAACATTGTCAAACATTACCACTAAATTATTATATATATACATATATATATATATATATATATATATATATATATATATATATATATATATATATATATATATATATATATATATATATATATATATATATTTATATATTACAGAAAATATGTACTTGCCTGAGTGGAACAGCCAGTGGTTGTAAGCATGCAGGATTACTTATGAAACTGGACTACAATAGAATTAGTGCATCAATTATGTATTCTTAGTGTAGTTAGAATGTGGATGAGTATTAATACAAGAGATAGGTGGTGAGAAGGACCAGTATGATGAAACAGTGTGAAGGTGGCGGTAGACTCTGCAGATGCTGCTGGCGAAGAATTTAGTGGATAAGTCACTGGCACTGGGACAATAAATGATACCTCTACTGAAGGGACAAGAAACTGAAGTTAAACAGTTTATCGGTGCTTATAAAAGATGTCTATTTATGGAAGAAAGAAACAAGATTCGGGGGTTTTTGTGGTGATGTTCACACATGCTGCGATAACCCTTAAAGTTATGGAAAGATTATTAGAAGCAAACAGTACAAGTCAGCCATAAACTTTTAATGTGACAATACATTTAATATGTATATTATATAATGGATTAAAAATTGCAGTAAATATATAGGAAGAAGATACTAAGCAGATATGAAAAGTGACTCGATATATGCATTTACTCGAGGTGAGATACATTAAGCAGGTTGTTGTGGACAGTCAGACTTGGATAAAAGGCTGTCCTGGACGGACCTTCAGCCTGGCCAAAAAGCTCTTGTAGGGGAACGGTAATGACAAGAAGCTTTTGAAAGGGTTAACAACGTAGCTCAGTAAGCCGAGAGAAAGAGCTTTATTTAAGCAAATACACTAGCATGGCTGCTAATTTAGCTGTAATATTCAAGAGTGAATAACAATCTATAATTCTGTCGGAAAAACTGGGTTTGGACGCTTGGTGTTACAATCGTTACCTTAACTATAATCCATCATTCTCACATCTACAACTGGTCACTTGAACAAACGAACCAACCCCAGATTTTCATTAAAGACAGTGTTCCTGCCTGTCTGGGTATAACAAGAGTCGCCACTTACATCAGTAAACTGCATGTCCTCTTTGTCATCAATGGAGGCAACAGTAACCTTGCCTTGTGATACGAAGTGATAGTCGTGGATGTCGTTGGACAGTCGGCATATTGCTAGAAACAACAAGGAAGTTTATTGATAAATAGAGTCGTCATACCGGTGACCTGGGGAAGGGAGAGACAGTGCTTTCTAGTGACTAAACCGCTATAGGTCTGCTTGAAAAAGAAAAATTAGTAAATATGTGGAAAATATGATGTGAATAAAGAATACAGAGGATGTATGATGTGTTTTTAAATACGAGGACGGGGACAAAGGTAATTGATTGGATATTCGTATAGAGGAGATAAGAGAATACTGGGAGAGGAAGAGTGTAGGTCTCCGTTTGCCTCTGTCATCCCAGTTAACTTGAGGTTTGGGAAAAGGGTGTCGTAACTATGTGGTAGATACGTATGGCCCGCACCAATGAGGTATAGCTTGGGGCTAGGTCGTAAGGAGTTGATGGTGGGAAAGATGCGAATGAGATGTACTGTACATATCACGAGTTGAAAGATATGCTTAACTGATTTATAGGTGAATACAACCTATGTCGCGATTAAGACTATTCCAAATATGTGTATATTAGTAAATGATAAGGGCTCGTGTTGTCCTTGTTGAGCCCGTGGGTTTTAGAATATCATCTAAGTTAATTTTTACCTCTATTTCTATATTCTGTAGGAGAACGTCTCTGTAGCTCTTTGAAAGGTTGTTAGAAACATAACACAGTATACTGTACTACTGAATAATTTAGATATAATATTGAAGAAGTCTAGATTATTTCCTCGTATGAAACAAGTTCTAGATCTTCAACGAAATCGTAAAAAGAAAAACGAATGATTGCAGGCAGTAAACGACTGTTGTCTACGAGGGTGTGGGAACCAATCCTCAGATCCTCCTAGTGACCGAGGCTACACACGCGCCTCGATCTAACTCACTTACATCTGTGAATTGCATTTCCTCGGCATCATCAATTGAGGCCACAGTAACTTTACCCTGACTCACAAAGTGGTAGTCATGGATACTATTGGAGAGCAAGCACGCAGCTGTAATGGATAAAGGTACCGTTATATGAGACACTGCCTAAAATACTGTGAAGGAAGAAGAAACTGATCATAGACGTAAGAGAAACAATTATTTTCACCTTCTGGGAGGGGCGTATCATGCATATCTTTTGGTAATAGGTCTTAATTTTAACATTGGCTAGAGCCCTAAGGATATGTATGGCAATGGTTTAAGAATTAGCTTAGAATTCATAATATCTGAATAGTGAAATATTTGTTGAAAAAGAGATTGTCCACATATTCCTTGTTGTAAGAAGGAAGTATGCACTACGCCTTGTAAAATCCACGTGTCTCAACATGATCTTTATTTGCATGGTTGTGGGCATTGTTGCCGTGAGACGTAGAACGTTTCTGTTAGTCTTCGCACAGGGGATGAGGGTTGAATTTCTGTGTCGTGGTGGAATGTGGCACTTTCTCTGTTGTGGCGAGACGTGGCCTTGTTTATATTGATATGGGAAGTTAACACTTTCTGTATTGTGTTGGGACGTGGCATTGTGTACGGGACTTTGTACTGTGTTGGGATGTGACACTGTATACTGTGGTGGGACGTTGCATTGTGTACTATGTTGGGTCGTGGCACTGTGTACTGCGTTGGATCGTGGCACTGTGTACTGTGTTGGGACGTGGCACTTTGTACTGCGTTGGGACGTGGCATTCGTTACTATGGATCTGGAAACACTGTAAACCTGTGCCTGTTGTGATGGAACGGCATCCATGAGAATATTACATCAAGTATTAATGTTCTTTGATATATCTATGCAGCCATTAGTGGTGCATTTGAGTAACTTGTTACCAATGTTTTTAACACAAAATAATAATGAGTGTAAAGAAAGTATATATATATATATATATATATATATATATATATATATATATATATATATATATATATATATATATATATATATATATAAATATATATATACACTAGCGGAATCGCCGCCCTCTGGGCGGCTTATTCGCTGGGCCACGGTGGAACGCCACCCTCCGGGAGGTTCCACATTGTCTCATTGTAGTGCATTAAGGTGTCTGCTTTGATCCTGACTTTGTACTCGTCATAAGGCATGTTTTCCAGGGCATTTTTAAATGACTGTACATACGTGTTGCGCTCATGAGGCATTTCTTGGATAGATAGGACAATGTCATGTCTGACACCTTGAATGTTGCCACACCTGATAGTAGTCTGCTTTTCATGATCTCCCGTGAAGTAGATTTGAAGGAACTTTGCCTGCTCATCTTCCAGTGGTAAGAGAGATCCTGCTTTATGATAGACTTGACCCTGGACTTTGAATGTGGGCATGTATCCGTGCTCACGAACTACTCTGGTAGCTCCAAAGGATGTTATCTGGAAGCATGAATTGTACTTCCGTATATTTTCCAAGAAGTGTTTTAACTTGAGTTTTGTTCCCAGCATGAGAGTCACCAATGGTTGTGGTGGTTTTTCCAAATTTGGCAGTCGTACTTTCCCATGAGAGCAGTACAGTCCAGCAGATTCTCCTTTGTACTTCTTTGCACCGCAGTATTCACATTTCTTATCCATGTTGCCAATGACAACAGAGGGATTCTTTTCATATTGTATATATAACATCATCCATCATCACTACATATAACACCATCCATCATCACTACATATAACACCATCCATCATCACTACAAATCGGTAAAGTAGTTTCCAAGATTCGCGTGCGGACACACAGACAAACAGACAGACTTCTTTGTTTTATATAGATATAGATCATCACTACTTATAACACCACCCATCATCACTACATATAACACCACCCATCATCACTACATATAACACCACCCATCATCACTACATATAACACCACCCATCATCACTACATATAACAACATCCATCATCACTACATATAACACCACCCATCATCACTACACATAACACCATCCATCATCACTACATATAACACCATCCATCATCACTACTGATCGGTAAAGTAGTTTCCAAGATTCTCGTGCGGACATACTTATAACTATCATGGTTATTTTTTTTTTTATGCTTAACTTATAATATTTTACCTTACCCTTAAGGTAAGGTTAAGAATTCTTCACTGTGTCTTGTTACTGAATATTGCAAGTTGTGACTAGCCTCTTGAGGGTACTAAGTTGATCTGTGATAGTGTATCTCCTAGACTGCAAATTTGATACAGTCGTTTTGCAGGGCCCTCCCGGCGACCTGGTAATTATGAGGTAAATGTATTGTAACAAGACAAATGAGATACTTACGTTTGATGGTCTTGATCTGATCGGACATAATTTGATAGAAGATATGGTAGGATCGTTCCAGTGTCTGCTGAGAAATGACACGGGCCTTCTCCAGCAGGTAGGTCTCGATATCAGCACCGGACAGCTTGCCACTCGGACCGAAGTGGATACGGATGAACTTACCCTGTGGAGGACACACTGACGTTGTTATCCAGTCAAGCGAAAACAATTGATGGCATAAATTTTTACGAGGAGAGAGTGTAGAATAAAGAAAAGAGCGACATTCCCTTAAAGAGAATAAACTTGTATTATTATAGACTACAAAAAACAGACGTGTACACGCAGTTGCCTGATTAAAGTTCTTGGATTAAACGCATAACTTAATTGGACAACGAAGACGACGACGCCGGGCTTGTAACAATATTTCTTCTTATTGAAAGAAAAAGTGTGGGAGCTATAAATTGTAGCTAACTATATAAGAAAATGAATTTGAAGAAGATAGCTTGGAGTCTCTACCTTAATGTATACGTTACTGTTGTGATAAATAAGACAAGAAATACTTACGAATCGCGAGGAGTTGTCGTTACGCACAGTCTTGGCATTACCAAAGGCCTCCAGTACGGGGTTGGTTTGCACGATTTGATCTTCCAGGTTCTGAGGGGAGTGATAGAGGGCGTCAGTAACTGTGGTGGAGAAGGCAACACCACTCAAGAGAAGAGCTTCCTACTAGGTAATCCTAATATCAGGGACAAGTTATGTAAGGCTAATAAGTGAAACTATATCAAAATGACGTTCTTCAAATATTAACGAGCAAGAACTAAAATAGACCTCAACATATTTATTGTACTATATAAAATGCGCCGTCCAAGAATGTAAAGAAATTGTTAAAAAGTTATGCACTCAGATGTTAAAGCTTATAACATAAATGTGTGATTAGTAAACACTGATAATGTGCAAATTGCCAGGTGTTAAGAGCAAATGTGCGAGGCTCGTGTCACTGCTGGTGTTTAGAGAACAACCCTCGGGTGTTTGGAGGGTGTAACTGTGAGTCACTTTCTAATTTTTGTGGATAAAAAATTGCACCTCCCAAGAATAAAAATATAAACACTACAACAACTTCTTTTGTCTCATTGGAAGTTCAAAAGTGTTCAAAATAATATACAGTAGATTATTATTTCTCCAGCCTCAAGTCATAATAAGAGGCTTTTGGTTCACCAAGTGTTGGGAAAGATTCCTTAGTATGAGGCGTGATGGCCTCTTAGTTCGCTACATTACCTGCTTTCTCTCATCGACCTGCTTCTTCTTGGTGGAGGCGCCGACATTGGCGAAGTAGGCAATAACCTTCTTAGTGTTCTCAGTCTTGCCAGCACCAGATTCACCACTGCGTTAGGAGAACATATTTACATGGTTAGCAGAAGCTGGAGACGAAAATGAAGCGGGAGTGACGTTAAGGATAAGGGTAGGACAAACACGGGTGCTGGAACACTCACAGGGGAGGGAAAACAGCAGTGGTGGACACCACAGTCTGGTGTCAGCAAGGTTTGGCGTAACGGCGTCAACATTAGACATGCGTGTTGCGATTGCAATGGACATTTGTCAATATAGCATAAAAGCTAATACTTGAAAAAAATCGCTGAAGTTTTTGCAAGGTTTTCAATATTAGGAACACAGTGAGTATAAAAAGCCAGATTAGGGTATATTTAGCAGTACAGTACTGTAGCCATCAGAAGTTAATGGTGGCCGGGCGTTAGTCAATGATTATCAGGTTGCGCCCTCCTGAACAAGCTTCGAGGAGCAAATCTTGTAAAGCTGCCCGAGGTACAGTCAAGAATAACAACGTGAGAGTGACATGAAGGTTATGGTTGTACTGTCTTGAGGAAGGGACACTTACACCGCCACTCGAGAACTTGACCGCCTTCTTCTGAAAATCACTTTTCCTGGCGATGCTGGCAAAATACTGGATAACTTTCTTGGTGTTCTCAGTCTTTCCGGCCCCTGACTCCCCACTAGTCAGGTAATGCAAGGAAGGAGGGAGAGGTAAGAGGAGGAGAGGCAACTGTGGTGATGACGGAGTAGAGCACACCGAGGTGGGAGAGGGGCAAAAGCTCTCGTCCTGCTGGAACTTCACCCCTCCCTCTGCCTCACTCACATTCTTGGTAAATAACTTAGGAGTAGAAGATTATGGTTTAATATTTAACGTTACCAAAGAATCTTGATTTCTTGGTATTGGATATTGAAATTAGGTATAATTATTTAATATTAAAGTTTTATAGAGGAAATTGTAAACACTGAATCAGCCATTAATTGACAAGCTATGAGCACTGCAAAATTATGTTTAAGAAAAGGCAAAACCATCAGACCATTAAGAAATTCATGGTATCAGAGAGAAAGTGGAGTTAGTCTCTTTCGAATTCCATGATAAAAAAAAAAACCTGGAAAATGTCCTATAATTTCCAGACACAGAAAGGATTATCTCACGAAGGATCTGGATGAAGTAGGAAGCTAATTAGCATCAATCATAGGAATATATCTCATTCATCTTAGGTATAAACACAATTAACAATAAGAGAAGAGTAACTTTGTAATATATATGATCTTAAGAGTGACTTAACTAAAACTATGGTATAAAACATGATGGTAGTATGTGGTGGTGCAGGGGGCGAGGCGGGTACTTACGTGATCAACATGGACTGGTTCTCGTGGTCTGCAAGGAAAAAATGGAGATTTATTAAAAGCAGCTCACATCTGTTTAGTCATTTCCCGTATTCTCACCCCACAAAGTTCCACTCACCGCCCATCTCTGTGAGTCATTTCCTATAATTATCCTCACAAAGTTCCACGCATCGCCCATCTCTGTGAGTCATTTCCTATAATTATCCTCACAAAGTTCCACTCATCGCCCATCTCTGTGAGTCATTTTCTATAAATATCCTCACAAAGTTCCACGCATCGCCCATCTCTGTGAGTCATTTCCCATAATTCTCAAAAAGTTCCATTCACCGCCCGTTCTGTGAGTCATTTCCTATAATTATTCTCACAAAGTTCCACTCATCGCCCATCTCTATGAGTCATTTCCCATAATTCTCACAAAATTCCACTCACCACCCATCTCTGTGAGTCATTTCCCATAATTCTCAAAAAGTTCCATTCACCGCCCATCTCTGTGAGTCATTTCCCATAATTCTCAAAAAGTTCCATTCACCGCCCGTTCTGTGAGTCATTTCCTATAATTATTCTCACAAAGTTCCACTCATCGCCCATCTCTATGAGTCATTTCCCATAATTCTCACAAAATTCCACTCACCACCCATCTCTGTGAGTCATTTCCCATAATTCTCAAAAAGTTCCATTCACCTCCCATCTCTGTGAGTCATTTCCCATAATTCTCAAAAAGTTCCATTCACCGCCCGTTCTGTGAGTCATTTCCTATAATTATTCTCACAAAGTTCCACTCATCGCCCATCTCTATGAGTAATTTCCCATAATTCTCACAAAATTCCACTCACCGCCCATCTCTGTGAGTCATTTCCTATAATTATTCTCACAAAGTTCCACTCATCGCCCATCTCTGTGAGTCATTTCCCATAATTCTCACAAAGCTCCTCAACAAGACTATGTGCACAAAATTAAAATAATCCGGACAATGACCTATATTTTCCTACTAAAGCCGCGGGTATGGATATATTATGTCTGGGGTGGCTTAGAATAAGTCAAGTTAGGTTAGGTTTGGTTGCAGGTCCGGGTCCAGTGATTCAGGAATTAGTAAGTCCAGGATTATTTCTCTCAGATTCTCATAAAAAAATATTTTCTCAGATAGAAGTAGAAGTGATTTTTAAATGCAAAGTCCCGCGGATGACAAAAGCTAATACATTTTAGTTTCCATGTTGGTCGCCACGCAAAGAAATATTTTATAAGTAAATTTTTGGATAAACTGTCGACATGCAGTATATATATAGTTATATATGAGTTGCCGGGTTCGTTTCTTGACCATATAGGGTGTGCAGTTGAGCGGGTGCCAGTGGGGGAGGTGGGTCGGCTGTGCCAGCCGGTTCCAAAATAACTTCCTGGCTGGCTCGCACTCACTCCCCCTCCATCCCTCGCCTGTCCACCCCTATTTTACACTCCTCCCAATAATGGACGCAATTCCGTTTTGGTTTTTTTCAATATCATTGAAGTGGCACATATACTGTGCTTTGTACCTGAAGGTAAGATATCTAACATTCATGCATATGTGTATAGTTATTTACATTATTATATTGCAGTATGTGTAACTTTGTATCTGCTTGAGCGGATATGCAATCTATATATTTTGTCGTGTATTAATACTGAGTTGCGGAAACGAAAATGCCAATACTCACTCTGCAACATGTCCATGTAGGCACCGTCGGCGATGGCGAAGATGTGGGGTGGAACTTCATTTCGTCTCTTGCTTTGGTAGATCTTGACCACACGGCTGGTGTAGATAGGGTAGCGCTTGTAGGGGTTGATGGCAACGCAGAAGAGGCCGGAATAGGTGTAGATGAGTTTGGTGACGTAACGGCACTTGAGGTTATACAGGACAGAGGCATCGTTAAGGTAGGTCAAGTTGGACATATCCTCGCATTTCTCATATTTGGGGGGGTTAACCTGATTGACGAGGTCCTTCTTGAAGTTCTTGGTTTCGCCACCAGGCACGCCGACAGTGACCAGATCGCCCTTGGTGCCCTGAATCTCGCCGAGGACGTAGCCCTCTTTCTCGCAAGGCACCCAGCAGGCCTTCTTGGCATCGTAAGGTTTGGTTTGGTCAATGCGCTTCTGTTCCAGGGACACGTACAGGAATTCAGTTGGGTCGGGGTCGGGCCCGCTGCTCTTCATAGCAATATGGCCAGGCATGTTGAAGGTTGATGTTTTGAAGCAGTCGAAGTCAAGTCAGACACACAGTACGGCAGAACAGCCCTGGAACTTTCCTGAAAGAGAACACAGGATGTGAGCCACCTTAGCACTCTAAGTGATGATTGATTCAGAGAAATACTGAATTCGTGCACATAAAACTCCGTTAGTGCGAATGTAATGTGAGGCGTCAGTCTGACCCGCAGTACACATTTCAAACTTTGTTAAGGTAACTGTGGATGTAATATACAGTATTATGGTTAACTTGACCAAGGTATCTGCTAACCTTCACATGACCCCGAATGAAATGATTATAATTGTAACACACATCAAGTTACGGTGCAGTAATTATCAAGCCGTGATACTAAACATTGAAACCAGACTTTGAATGTTAAACACTGGATTGTCTAATACACTTATTAGCATTGGATGCAGTAATCCACAATTATTGTCCTGAAACAACCAGCTTAAACATATTTGATACGTAACGCCAGCTCTTTATAGTATTATGGAATGGTAAAATCTGGTGTTACAACTGATGCATTTGATTACGTAGCATGTAAATATACATTGACAAACCTCAACACGTATGAAAAAGGGATTAAAATTACTCTATTAGTGATAAAAAATAAAAAATAAATTTCGATATAAACAATTCCAACAGAAAATGAAAAGTGTATGAATAAAGTTACTGAGCGGAACAAAGAAGTAATGACATACAAGAAGCTTCACAGCACCGCCACTGTCACACGACACTCCCGATCACCCACTACACCACGACTGACGAGGGGGTGCTGGGCGTGGCTCTCATATACCCAGAGCCAGGAGGGGTGTAGGGGAGTGTAATGGGCGTGTGGTGGGTGGGCGACGAGGCCAGACTTGGCAAGGCATCATCGCTCCGGCAACTTGACACCACCGCCAAGCTATAAATATATGTCTTTAGGTGTTAAGGCTACCACCCTTCTACTGTTGGAAGAGGTGTTCCACACAATTGTTGGTAGAGGAGTTCCACACAGCTGTTGGAAGAGGTGTTCCACACAATTGTTGGTAGAGGAGTTCCACACAGCTGTTGGAAGAGGTGTTCCACACAATTGTTGGTAGAGGAGTTCCACACAATTGTTGGTAGAGGAGTTCCACACAACTGTTGGTAGAGGAGTTCCACACAACTGTTGGTAGAGGAGTTCCACACAACTGTTGGTAGAGGAGTTCCACATAGCTGTTGGTAGAGGAGTTCCACACAACTGTTGGTAGAGGAGTTCCACACAACTGTTGGTAGAGGAGTTCCACATAGCTGTTGGTAGAGGAGTTCCACACAACTGTTGGTAGAGGAGTTCCACACAACTGTTGGTAGAGGAGTTCCACACAATTGTTGGTAGAGGTGTTCCACACAACTGTTGGTAGAGGTTCACACAAGGAGTTCACACAACTGTTGGTAGAGGAGTTCACATAGCTGTTGTTGAGTTCCACACAACTGTTGAGAGAGTTCCACACAGCTGTTGGTAGAGGAGTTCCACACAACTGTTGGTAAAGGAGTTCCACACAACTGTTGGTAGAGGAGTTCCACACAATTGTTGGTAGAGGTGTTCCACACAACTGTTGGTAGAGGAGTTCCACACAATTGTTGGTAGAGGTGTTCCACACAACTGTTGGTAGAAGAGTTCCACACAGCTGTTGGTAGAGGAGTTCCACACAACTGTTGGTAGAGGAGTTCCACACAACTGTTGGTAGAGGAGTTCCACACAACTGTTGGTAGAGGAGTTCCACACAACTGTTGGTAGAGGAGTTCCACACAACTGTTGGTAGAGGAGTTCCACACAATTGTTGGTAGACGAGTTCCACACAATTGTTGGTAGACGAGTTCCACACAATTGTTGGTAGAGGTGTTCCACACAGCTGTTGGTAGAGGTGTTCCACACAATTGTTGGTAGAGGGGTTCCACACAACTGTTGGTAGAGGAGTTCCACAAAACTGTTTGTAGAGGTGTTCCACACAACTGTTGGTAGAGGAATCCCACACAGTTGTTGGTAGAGGTGTTCCACGCAACTGTTGGTAGAGGTGTTCCACACAGTTGTTGGTAGAGGAGTTCCACACAGTTGTTGGTAGAGGTGTTCCACACAACTGTTGGTAGAGGTGTTCCACACAAGTGTTTGTAGAGGTGTTCCACACAACTGTTGGTAGAGGAGTTCCACACAGTTGTTGGTAGAGGAGTTCCACACAGTTGTTGGTAGAGGTGTTCCACACAAGTGTTTGTAGAGGTGTTCCACACAAGTGTTTGTAGAGGTGTTCCACACAACTGTTGGTAGAGGAGTTCCACACAACTGTTGGTAGAGGAGTTCCACACAACTGTTGGTAGAGGAGTTCCACACAACTGTTGGTAGAGGAGTTCCACACAGTTGTTGGTAGAGGTGTTCCACACAACTGTTGGTAGAGGTGTTCCACACAGCTGTTGGAAGAGGTGTTCCACACAACTGTTGGTAGAGGAGTTCCACACAACTGTTTGTAGAGGTGTTCCACACAACTGTTTGTAGAGGTGTTCCACATAACTGTTGGTAGAGGAGTTCTACACAACTGTTGGTGTTCCATACGACTGTTGGCAGAGGTGTTCCCCACAACTGTTGATAGAGGCGTTCCACACAACTGTTCGTATAGGTGTTCCACACAACTGTTGGTAGGTGTTCCACACAATTATTGGTAGAGGTGTTCCACAGAACTGTTGGGTGTAGAAGTGTTCCACAGAACTTTGGGGTCAAAAAGTGTTCCACACATCTGTTGGGTGTAGAAGTGTTCCACACACATGTTGGGTGTAGAAATGTTCCACACACCTGTTGAGTGTAGAAGTGTTCCACACACTTGTTGGGTGTAGAAGTGTTCCACACATGTTGGTGTTTGTCACTCTCCATTCTTCTAACAGTATAGGGTAAGGAATAGGGGGGTCATATCTCATCTATGTTATTTTGGAATAATATACAATATTATGCATATGAGGTAGATTGTGTGTGTGTGTGTTTTACCTCCCTAATGAGTTTCCACAGTCTTGACGATAGAGAGCTGAAATTTGGTAGGTCGGTGCGGGTAGCCTAGGAGAAGGTCGTGCACTCCATGAAGGGTGGTTTGACCCTTCATGGGTCGACCACAAAATCCTACCCCGAGGATCAATCAACAATTTTGAAAATACAGTACGTCCAGGGTTTGTTTAACTAGCAACCCAGGCGAAGCTCAGCGAGAGTACGAGTATATATATATATATATATGTATATATATATATATATATATATATATATATATATATATATATATATATATATATATATATATATATATATATATATATATATATATATATATATATATTCGTGTATTCACATCTTCAGGGGTGAGTACAGCTAGTCTGTACTCCCCTGAAGATGTGAATTACACGAAAGCGCTTGGGAAGTGTTTTCTTCTTCCTTGTGGTTATCAGCATATACCTATCACGCACCTACAGTGATTTACTTTGTATATATATATATATATATATATATATATATATATATATATATATATATATATATATATATATATATATATATATATATATATATATATATATATATATATATAAAGAGAGAGAGACCGAGAGATCATGATACTAATTTGGAAATTGCTTTAGGATTAAGTTTGTTGTAATTCATGATCGAAAAATTTTGTTTTTCAGTTTAAAGTCAGGTGAAAATAAATCTCCTAGGATGTAATACATAGTTGCTCTAATGTTAAACAAGTCATCGTCCTCCCATAGACTGTTGTTGTGTAGCGGATTAGACAAGTTTATAGGATGTAGTGATAGAATAATTTTATGGTGTTAGAAATTATATTACAAATAATAAATAATACAATAATGATGAAAAAATTAAAATTAAAACATGGTTGATTTTCACTCACTGTTTTCTACCAACCATTCAACCACTCATGCGCGAACGTTGTTTGTAAACAATAACAATTAGTGTTCGTATGATCGTGCCTGAGGACGGGTGTTCTTGTCCGTGTGTTTCCGTTACTCTATTCACTCTCTCGTGTCTTTGCTCTTTGTCCTCATTTGTCATGTCACATCCTCACCATATTTCCCTTAAATGTCTCCCCCTTCGTGTCTCATTGGTCAGACATCCTCCTTTCTGTCTCCTCTGTCAGTCTTCGTATCTTTCTCCTTAATAGTCTCCCGTCTCCCTCTCCTAACATTCTCTTGCCATGTTCTCAACTCCCATTTTCATGTCGTTCTCCTATCATTATCTCTTTCTATATCTCTCTCTCCGTTTTGTGTCTTCTTCCTCCCCATCTGTCTATTTCATTTATTATTTTCACTTTATCTCTCTTGTCCTTCTTCCACCTCACTCCCTTCATTCGCTGTCCCTCTTTTATTCCTCTATCCATTTGTATCCTGTACATTATCTACCTCATTCCTGTACCTCTCTCTATTTTCCTTGTCCATCTCCCTTGTCAATCATTCATTTTTATATGTTTTCCCTGTACTGTTGTTTCAATATTTATTTCCTGCCCTTCTCTCTATCTATCTACATATCTGTTTATGTATCTAACATCCTTCTCCCTATCTCTCTCCTGTCCTTTTGCCTATTGTTCATTTGTCCTTTCCCTATCTCTTGTTCCAGTCTCTTAGCCAGTCGTTCTGCCAACAGCATCTGGTGTTCCCAGGCGGTCACCCATCCAAGTACTAACCAGACCCAAACTCTATCTCTCTATTTCTTTTCTTTTATCTCTCTTACTCTCACCCGATGTCCCTACTATGATGCTACGTTAGATAGATAGATAGATTTAATATTATTCGGCTCGATTGCAAAAAACACACAAACACATAAATAGCACAAATAATTACACACACACACACACACACACACACACACACACACACACACACACACACACACACACACACACACACACACACACACACACACACACACACACACACACACACACACACACACACACACACACTACAAGTTAACGTATGCTTTCATTAACATACGGAGACAGTGTTGTGTGTTATTACCTTGCCTAATGGCACAAACACTTAATAAATTGGCCTTTATCTTATTGGGTCACAAACTGGGCACCTCCACTATACTGGGTCACAGACTAAGCACCTCCACTATACTGGTTCACAAACTGAGCACCTCCATTATATTGGGTCATAAACTGGATACCTCTACTATACTGGGTCACAAACTGGGCACCTCCACTATACTGGGTCACAAACTGAGCACCTCCATTATATTGGGTCATAAACTGGATACCTCTACTATACTGGGTCACAAACTGGGCACCTCCACTATACTGGGTCACAAACTGAGCACCTCCATTATATTGGGTCATAAACTGGATACCTCTACTATACTGGGTCACAAACTGGGCACCTCCACTATACTGGTTCACAAACTGAGCACCTCCATTATATTGGGTCATAAACTGGATACCTCTACTATACTGGGTCACAAACTGGGCACCTCCACTATACTGGGTCACAAACTGGGTACCTCCACTATACTGGGTCACAAACTTGGCACCTCTACTATACTGGTTCACAAACTGAGCACCTCCATTATATTGGGTCATAAACTGGATACCTCTACTATACTGGGTCACAAACTGGGCACCTCCACTATACTGGGTCACAAACTTGGCACCTCTACTATACTGGGTCACAAACTGAGCACCTTCACTATGCTGGATCACAAACTGGGCACCTCTGCTATGCTGGGTCATAAACTGGGCACATCCACTATACTGGGTCATAAACTGGGCACGTCCACTATACTGGGTCATAAACTGGGCCACAAACCGGGCACCTCTACTATACTGGGTCACAAACTGGGCACCTCCACTATACTGGGTCATAAACTGGGCACCTCCACTATACTGGGTCACAAACTGAGCAACCTTCACTATGCTGGATCACAAACTGGGCACCTCTGCTATGCTGGGTCACAAACTGGGCACCTCCACTATACTGGGTCACAAACTGGGCACCTCCACTATTCTGGGTCACAAACTGAGCACCTCCACTATACTGGGTCACAAACTGAGCACCTCCACTATACTGGGTCATAAACTGGGTACCTCCATTTTACTGGGTCATAAACTAGGCACATCCACTATACTGGGTCACAAACTGAGCACCAACACTATACTGGGTCATAAACTGGGCACCTCCACTATACTGGGTCATAAACTAGGCACATCCACTATACTGGGTCACAAACTGAGCACCAACACTATACTGGGTCATAAACCGGGCACCTCCACTATACTGGGTCACAAACTTGGCACCTCTACTATACTGGGTCACAACTGGGCACCTCCACTATACTGGGTCATAAACTGGGCACGTCCACTATACATGGGTCATAAACTGGGCACGTCCACTATACTGGGTCATAAACTGGGCCACAAACCGGGCACCCTACTACTGGGTCACAACTGAGCACCTCCACTATACTGGGTCATAAACTGGGCACGTCCACTATACTGGGTCATAAACTGCACGTCCACTATACTGGGTCATAAACTGGGTCACAAACTGGGCACCTCCACTATACTGGGTTATAAACTGAGCACCTTCACTATGCTGATCACAAACTGAGCACCTTCACTATGCTGGATCACAAACTGGGCACCTCTGCTATGCTGGGTCATAAACTGGGCAAATCCACTATACTGGGTCATAAACTGGGCACGTCCACTATACTGGGTCATAACCGGGCCACAAACCGGGCACCTCTACTATACTGGGTCACAAACTGGGCACCTCCACTATACTGGGTCATAAACCGGGCACATCCACTATACTGTGTCATAAACTGGGCACATCCTCTTTACTGGGTCATAAACTGGGCACCTTCACTATACTGGGTCACATTCTACTATGCTGGGTCACAAACTGAGCACCTCCACTATACTGGGTCACAAACTGGGCACCTCCACTATACTGGGTCACAAACTGAGCACCTCCACTATACTGGGTCACAAACTGGGCACCTCCACTATACTGGGTCACAAACTGGGCACCTCTACTATACTGGGTCACAAACTGAGCACCTCCACTATACTGGGTCACAAACTGGGCACCTCCACTATACTGGGTCACACACTGAGCACTCCATTATACTGGGTCACAAACTGGGCACCTCCACTATATTGGGTCACAAACTGGGCACATCCACTATACTGGGTCATAAACTGGGCACCTCCCACTATACTGGGTCACAAACTGAGCACCTCCACTATACTGGGTCACAAACTGCACCTCCACTATACTGGGTCACAAACTGAGCACCTCCACTATTCTGGGTCACAACTGAGCACCTCCACTCACAACTGAACACCACTATACTGGGTCATAAACTGGGTACCTCCACTATACTGGGTCATAACTAGGCACATCCACTATACTGGGTCACAAACTGAGCACCAACACTATACTGGGTCACAAACTGGGCACCTCCACTGTACTAGGTCACACACTGGGCACCTCCACAATACTGGGTCACAAA